CTCCTGGGTATTACATGTTTGCTTCGAAATTTTGTGCAAATAAAGCATCAAATTTGTCTTTTAACCAAAGTTTTCAACAAATATTGGCTCACAACCTTGGAACTTGTATAGGTCGTGTATATTCGTTTTTGAAAAGTTGCCATCAACGCGCAGGGTTATATAGAGATAGCTTCTTGAAATATGCAACGAGCCACGCGGGCAGGAGAGGCCGGTTGCCTACCTCTTTCCGATCGCTTCCTTCTCCCAGTAGAATTAAAATCCATTAACTTTTGATGCTGTTAATGCAGCAGGCGGCAACGAGCTCTGCCAACGAAATCAATCCGGGGAATTCTCCCGTTCGAGCAATTGTGTTCAATTATTAACGGGACCCGGCGGATGGCTCTGATCCTGACGAGAGGCCGGAAAAGTTCACTCTTGTGCTCGGCGCAAAATCAGAGCGCCTGAAATGAATTATTATTAACTGGGAAGACTTTGATTCTCCTGCCCTATAAACCTAATTAATTAAAAGAAGGAAAATATTAATAGATCTGTTACTTATTTAGAGCATACAAATAGTCCCAGTCAGATCTGTATAAATTAAAAATTAATATATTTTACTTTAAAAACCGATTGACTTTTTTCAGTCTTTTTGGAAAAAAAGTTTAGTGCCATTTTCCGAATTATAAATTGTTGATAATATGTATTTTATATTCAGGAACTTTGATTTTATGCATTAATCGAAAGAGGTTTGGAAATATTAAAAATGAAATTAAATTGCGATGTGAGAAAATCTTGTCCATCTAAACAAGCACGCTGTTCCAATCTCATCTCTGCACATTCGATGTTGAGCAAAGAGCGCACGTGCTGCAGTGCACCCTGCCTGCACCCTGTGTAATTTGCCCGTTCAATGTGGAGCTAAACAAGTAAATGCACTGGCGTTGCGAAACAGAAAGGAAGTCAGCGCGAAAACGAGTTGTCAGCAGACCGTGTAATGAGTGGCCCATTCAGCAGCGAGGCCCGTCCGTCGCGACAGCCGGTAATTAAATCGGCTCGCCGCGCAAAACCCAATTAGGCCAACCTCAATTATGCAACAATTCGCTGCATTTGTCGCGCCAGCATGCAGTCGTACTTTTTATCTGCCGCCACGCTAATTTGAGGTCTGAAACGCAGCAGCTGCGAAAATTAATATCAAAGCGGTCAGACTTAATTAAAAAAGGAACGGTTTCGTTTGCGGGTCGTTTGTCAAAGCGCTGCGAATAGCACCACCATCTGTGGCCTGCAAGTGGGACAGATTTTTTTGTGTTAATGCGGCCGGCCAGCATCTTGCAGCTGCGGAATTTATTATATTGACCCCTGCTCGTGATCTTGCTGCGCCCGCCATATTTTACCATACATTTGCTCGGCCGCTGGCTCTCCTCGAATGGCCCACATTCGCTGAAATTGTTTTCGCTGAGCGCATCATTTCTTTTTGGCCTGCGCTGGCGGCGAGAGAATCAAATTAACGAGACCGAGTGGAAAATACAAAAGAGGAAGGGCCTGCAAAAATACACTTACCCCAAACGTTCCCCAGTCCATTTGAATGCGAAAAAAGAAAAGTTTCTCGTCGCAAGAATAAGAAAAAGGCCATCAACGAAATTGTCGTCGTCGGATGAGACGAGAAATGACGGTTGGAATAAGAAAAGCCCGCGCTCTAAACGAAGAGAAATTAAGCGTGAGAGTTCTCGAGTTTTATCCCTCGTGAAATGTGTCAGTGAATAAATTTGAATTGGCGCGAGCGATAAGACGCGGCACTTCACAACCATCCTCGAGTGCCCGCCGAGCGTCTAGAGCTCCAAATGACCTGAGTTTTCAGAGGAATTCCAGTCCCTTGGAAGCTCGCGTACCTTTCGCAACACTTTCTTTGTGATCCAACAAAGGGCTCTATGAAACATAAAGAACACCGCAATTTGTACGCAAGGGAGACGTTCGTATTTTAGTCAGTATGCACATAGCTTCGCCAGAGCGCGTTGTCTCCGTAATTAAGTTACGGAACAAAGAAAAAAGAAATGAAAAAGGGAATGAAATTATCTCGCCGGATAATTCGTTGTAGCGAAAAGATGGCGATAAGCAAAGAACTCAAAGAAGAGACTCGCGACTCGGCAGCGAAAACACGTGAAGTGAGAGCAACTCTTACTTCAGTTGATGGTGTTTTATAATTCTTATCGTGTCGCGCAACTGACTCGCTCGATTATTCTTCTTGCAATTTTGTATTTTGTTCACGGAAGGATGATTCAACATTTGCGTGTCAACTCCACGTAATACAATTATTTACGAAGATAATATTTGATAATAATAATAATAACAATTTATTTATTTATTTCAAAAACAAAACATTAGGTTTAAAAAATCTAGCAACATAAATTTACAAGATTTAATATTATTTTTCTTTTTTAATAAAATTTTACACAACCCTATCAGGTATATAGTTATATTTATTACGCTTATAGGTTTTTAAATCATTTATCTAATAATTTTATTTAAATTTAATTCATTGTTCATTTTCTACAAAAATAATATTTTTTAATAAATTGTTTATAACAAAATTTAGTGATATTCACAAGCTGAGTTAGTATCAGCAATTCCCTCAAGCTATAACTTGGCTTGTAAATATTCCCCGTATTTTTATTTTAAATGCTGTAGACCAATCGTCTGAATCAGTCTAAATGAAAAAGTCCATAGGGTACATAGTAATTGGAGCTATACGGGCGTCATGCAAGTTTCTGTGAACCGTACTACAAACACGGCGCGCATTTCATCTGGCAGCAGCAGCACGAGTGAAATAAACCGTTTATGTGCGTTTGCTTTCACTTTAATTGGCTGCTCAAACAACGTTTTGCACACTCGCTCTTTACAAAGCGGAATTATTCGGAGGGCATGATATTGAAAAGTGCGGCGCAAAACACGTCGGGCGAGTGCGGCAAATGCTGAAAATTTTATCGTGCGCTCGCTGCGTGTTTGTTCGTTTGAGCAAAAATCGATCTTTCAAGAGTGAATTTCGGTTTCAAACTTTCGAGCTTCCTTTTGATGATATATAATTTTGCTCAGAACTAAATATTTAATTCCCTAGCTTGAGAGCTATATTTAGATAACACAGCTAGTTGTGTTCACATTCACGCAGGCAAACAAAATCGGTCTGAGTGGTAATGAAAAAGTAATGACTGTTTAAGTGTAATTAAAGTACAATATTTGCACTTGAAATCTGATGAAAAATGCAGACTTTGACAGGGGTGCAGCTGCTTCCAGCCAGCAGGTGGTGACTAGAGCACTTCTCTCAAAGTAACACGGTAACGAAGGAAAGGGACTTGAAGAACATAGAGGTAGATGGACGGCGCGAGAGCAGAACATAAAAGAATTGCAATTTTCCCTTTGTTTCCTTTGAGAGGAGTGGCGCGACAATGGCAATATTTACGCTGTACAGGAAATGACACAACAATGCAGTTGAGATAATTAAAACGGCGTGTGGGAGAGCGTAAGAGCAGGGGCAGGAAACGCAGGGGACACCACTGCTGCTGCTGGATAACGCTCGCCCCGGCTCTAGAGAGTATTAAAACAAACATTAATGGGAGAGAAGCAATTAAAAAAGGCTCTTTGTGCGGAAAAAAACGCGAGTGGGAGAGAGAACAGGAGAAAGAGACTAAATTCGGCTCGCTCTCTCATTCAATAAACGGCTGCCTCGCCAAGTGCTGGTAATTTGAAACCTCAAAAGCGGGAATGGAATGAAAGGGACGCTTTTCCATTAATTTTTTTGTTTGTCCTCAACATGGGAAAAATGCTTCGGATCCAATGTCTAATCCACTGGAAAAAAAAATCAAATGAGGGACTAAAATAGAAATTGGGGAAACAATTCCTTATCACTAATTCATATCTTTTAAATTTAACTGATTTTCGTTAGTGGAAAAAAATAATATTAAATAATTTACATAAATGAAAAATTGAAATATTATAATATTTATAACGCAATACATTTTTTTAAATTGAAATAAATTTACGATAACATAATTTTCTGGAGATAAAAATGGAAAAATCCCTCTGGCTATCGTTTTTATTGGTTTTTATGTAGCATATTTGCATTCAAAATCGCGGTCAGAGGGGAAATTAGCAATTGAAACCGGGCGTCAGTGCATCAATCAATGTTTGATCGGCGCGCGCGGACTACATAATATTCAATTTCCCACTCTCGGCTCGCATGCAAATTGCAATGAACTCGCGCTTTGCTTGGGCATTTTATCCGCGCATATCGCAATAAAACTGTCCATCGGTGGACGGTCTATACGTGGCGTGTCATTTATAAAGCCCCACGATATCATTGCAGACACGCCAACAATGGAGTGAAAATTGCCCGCTCAGCCAGCCGCTTTTGAAACGGGAGCTCGCCCGCTTTTTGCCACCTCATTGTTATGTTTGCGGCAAAAACGTCGAGTCCAGCCTCGTTTGCGTCTGCTAAATTAGCTACCTAATATGCCCTGTCTCTCGCATTATTTATTAACAGGCTGCGTCGACATTCAAGCTGATAATGCTGGTCCACAAATATATTAGCTTGATAAATATTAAAATTGGCCTGATACAAGGTGAACTAGTAACTAGAGAATGACTTAATAATGTGTTGAAGACATTACTAGAGAAAGTTTTTTACAACAATTATCAGTGATAGTGTGAGGTAAAAAATTAAATAATTAATTGCTAGTGAAAAACGACACATACAAATCTATCAAAATGAATAAAATGCATAATGTATAAAAATTTAAGCCGAAAATCTATTTACAAAATAATATATTTCATTTACCGTGAAAAAATATTAAATTGTGATGAAAAATCAATTTTAAAATTCAATAATCTTTTTCAAATATATTGATAGATTCGGTCCTTTCCCAACAGAGATTGTAAACTTACATTGATAAACTATCTTCCCCAAAATAAGCCTTTTAAAAATGAGAAATTGAACCAATTGGAAAAAAATTAAATCATCACATTTTCTGTTTCAGGTTCTGTCAAAAGGGTTGGCAACAAGGCTACTGTTCGGCCCAAGACTGCTGCTGGAGCACTCTCGATGAGATTTGATGCATAAATTAATGTGATCTACAAGACTACTGCTAGATGGACAGAAAAATCTACAGCTAAAAATTTGTTGATGAAATGCGGATCAAAATTCTTTCATTTCGCTTGTGAGCTGTGTTTGTTGAGAATTTAGTGTGAAAGAAGTGAGTTGCAATTATAAGGCAAACAACGAATTGTGTATTTTGTGAAGTACTCTGGTTACATGAAAGTCTGTAAATAGAGAGAATGAGTTTTAAATTATACGGGATGAACTGCTTCAAACTTGTTAAATTGCGTCATGAGCTGATACCGTGTTAAGAATTAACTGTGTTCATTTGATAATTTTGATATAGTCACAATGAACAAACCCATTGGCAGAATTGTGAAACGTGTATCCAAAATTCTAAAAAATTTGGAATGAAAAATTTGTATCAAAGCAAAATCAAAATTAGCAGAGAGTTTGCCATTTATTTTTATGCCAAGAAAAATTGAAAAATTATTTGGATCTGCTTGATTTCGTATAAAAAGTATTTATAAATATAACAATCTTAAATTGAAAAGTAAAATTTAAAATAAAAAAATCCTTCTTGTCTCACAAAATGAAATTGTTCTTATAGGAGTTCATTGTATGAGCAAACACCATACAGACTTAATAGTTAACGTAGCACTGAAATTTTGCTTCCTTACATTCCGCTAAATTAAAACTGCATAATTTATTTGGGGAAAAAATTTGATGTAGATTTCAATATAAAAACGCAGCCATTTTGTGTAGTGTGCTTTTCAGTGTTACATATCACTTGACAAAGACACAATTTTCATTGAAATGAACCATATTTTGTCCATTCCAGTAAGATTACTGAATTGCAAATCGCAGGAGTTTGCCATATTCGTAATCCGCTATCTATAAATCAATATATTATAAAACACACGCGCGCAAGAAAATTCACATTGAAAATCATTATTATTATTATTAATTAATTCATCTCAAATATTGTATTATTCTAGTCACATGGCGCGAACGCGTGTCCAATGAGATTGTCCTTGGCTTTGTATAATATGATAATATCCAACTCAATAATTGCTGTGCTATTTGATTAATCTCATGTCAGAAGAAAAACATTTTGATGCTGTCTAACAACTACTGCTGAGAGTTCTTAAAGACAGAATGTTCTGCATTGATATTTGTGTACATAAAAATCTGAAGCGTCACCAATAAAATTTATAGTTAATTCAATTCACTCAAAAATACAAAAATTTCAATTCAAACTAAAACCGTTTTGTAAGCACATATTATTTTAGAATCAAATTAGTGCATGGTAAATAAAATTAAGAGAAAAATAATATAAAAGTTTGACGGGAAAAAAAATTATTTAAGTAATGGATGCTGGTCACGTTACAAGATTAATTAGCTTGGTTTCCCGACTGCAGCAGCTGGAGGGCAGGTCTGAGCTTGTATTCGTGCCCAGTTCAAGAGGGTCAGTTTGTTTGATTTGGGTGAAGTCGCCGAGCGGATGGGAGGCAGGTCAGCAGCACAGGTGCTTGGGCGCCGCGTGTCACCAGAGCTACCCGGCGCCCTATTAGTTTCGCCCCAGAGGCTTCTGCTTTTGATTTCTGGCCAGCGAGACGGCCACGCTACCATACCATCTCTGCCAACAGATAATCTGACAGACCATGGAGAAGGCAAAGCTACTCGTGTAATGAGCCCAGTTCAAATAACACGCCACCGGTTAACGTCGTCCAGCTTGTTAAGTCGACAGATCCGAACGAACTTACAGCTCGTGTGGCAATTATCTTCTTTCTGGTGCTGATCCTAATCGAAATTAATTTGAATTCTTTCTTATTTTTTTTTATTCACGTTTTTTCCCTTTTTTAATCTCTATTATTTGAGATGAATTTTTGGGCCATTTTTTATACAAATTTTATGGCTTTGCATCAAAGGAAGGATGCAACCACAAAAAAATAATGCGCTTTCCACTTCATGAAGCAAAAAATTCATAATAAAGCTGCAATAAATTTTTGATTCGTCCTTTTGGAGAGGCATAGATGGAAAATCAAGTTCCCTGCGTGTACATCCGCAAAAACTTCCAGTAGCGATGGGAAATGAGGCGCTTTCATTCAAATAAATTTGCTGGAGAAAACTTCGCCGCTGACTCCTCTTTGCAATAAAATCATGCAATAAAGTGGCTCGGAGATTTGAGTCATTCGAGTGGAAGTATTTGATGATCATCGTTCACCCAGCTTATTCCGGATGTTTGACTCCAGAAGAATGTGAGTAATTTTCCGTCGGTCGTGAGTAATGAGAATCATGAGCACAAGAATCATGTCTGTGCAGTCCTTATTTGAAAAATGAAAATGCTCGTTTGCAAGTAGAAATGAAAATCTCTTTTTACTGTGCCTCGTCATTGTTTGAATAAAAGAGATGAAATAAATGAAATGGGGAATTGTGGATTTGAAAGTTGAATCCGATTATATATTATTATTTTTTTTCTAGATCCAATTTAATATTCCTCCTACTTAATATTTGTGCCATCCAAATCCTCAGAGCTCCCATTGAGGGACTACTTTTTTTGTTGTAAGCTGATAAACGAGTTTGTTAATTAAGGACTCTAATTTGGCTGAAGACAAAGAGGATCACCTCTCCGGCGACGTCGCCACATTAATTAATAAACTTTCGTTTTTCAGCATGACATAACTGCAGAAAATGAACGCTAAATATAAATTTGTATGAAGGTGCCTGGTAAAAATGGGGAAGGGTCTTGGATGGATTGATTAAAACTTTTCAATGGCGCTTAAAAAAAATGAAAGTTCCAGCCTCTATACTAATTCTTGCTTCGTGGATGAAAAAAGGCTTGATTAAACATTTTGCATCGAGAGCGCAGCGGAATCCAGGACTCGCTGCTCGCATACTAGCGCGGCCTTTTAATGTTTTTGATTATAATTTAATGACTGCAGGCGACGGGCCGAAGCATCAATCTCCATTTTACGGCATGCAAAAACTTTGTAACGAGTTTTCTTCTATACTTCTTTCGGACTTTTTACGCGGCTTGTATTAAGAATAAGTGCGCGGCAGTAGACAATTATTATGGTGCTCACTACCGTTGAGATGATGGAGCGGAGAACATGCAAAAACTTTATTTTCCTAGACGCTTTTAATAATTATTTTGCCTGCAAATTAATTAAATTTGAATTGGGGAACGCGAGTTTTTTTCTCAATATTCGGGAAATGTTTTTTATTAAAAGTATTTTTTTTACTGTTATGCTATGAGCTAAATCAATTAAAGACATTTATTAAGAATTGGCCCTATCGCTACTGATTTGGTATTTTTTAAAGGATAAGCCAAGTTTATCCTTCCTAATTTTTAGCCATTCCTTGTACTAATCTTAAAAATATTTAGATGAACAATTACTTGTAATTTTTACTGGTTCTCATTTCATTTTTAATTAATCTTTAGATTAAATATTTTTATTTTCAATCCTAATAAGGTTGTCCAGAAAAATTTTGATTTTGTTATTAAATCCCGTTTACAACAGACCAATGCAAATCGTATTGTTCCCCAACAAAGACAGTCAAGCAATTTCACAAAAGCATAAAATAGAATTGTGGCATGGGCAGTAAGTTACGATGGCAGGGAGAGCCGCGAGGAGCTTATGTTCTTAAATAGTTTTCCCTTTTCTGACCAAAAAGAGTGACCGGTCTCGACGTTGCGATAGTGATTCGGTATGTAATTAGTGGCCTGGAAATGTAAGCCTGGACCATATCTCTCGTGTCCATTCAGATTTCAAGCTCAACTTGGCGGGCGGAGAGCAATTTAATGGCTCTAAGCCTTTTGCCCGTTATTTATTGGAGCAGATTATTGTGTTGGCGCGCTAGAAAACGGCCGCTGCCGATTCAAGCTTTGGAGCAGTGATTGGAAACGGTCCTGCTCACTTCATGCATCGACCGACCACTTGGGTTCAGCCAGGGTGCACTCCCGCTGATTGTTTCTGCCAGCCAAAGTGTTTAATTTCATTTGACCAGTGTGGTGCATTTAATTTGCATTTAAATGCCTTACTCATATGACCGTTAACATTTAAAGGCGATAATATTTCCCCTCATCATTGTTAGATTATTATTATTATTATTATTTTTGTGTAGTTGAAAATCGATAATATTGCATCAAAAAAAAAAAATAAAATAAATAAAAACTTACTTTACCAATTATGCTCACAAGAATATAAATATCAATAAAATTAAAGTTCCTCCACCTTATATATGACAGTATTTTTTGACAAATCTATCTGAGTAATTTATCCTCAATCTTTTCTGAATACCACTCGACAATGTGGTATTCAACCAAGAAAGAGATATAAAAATTTAAAAAATAAACCCGTGATAAGTTAAATAAGATTTTGGTTCAAATCTTTTATCCGTTCTTACTCCAATTTTTATGGCGTCTTTCACCTTGATAGGCTCATTTTTTTCTCTCTCAGCAGCAAATCCTCCCAACAAAAAGCTGTTTTCCAAACCCGCGCACTCATTCGCGTGAGCAACGCGCCTTGCAATTTTCCGCCTCCTTTTATCGCAAAACTTAAGTATCAAGAAGTCAGAGCGATTTTATTTCTCCTTTTCACTCGCTCGCGCACACTCATCGAACTGGCTCGCAGCCTTTCCTCGTGTGAACTAAAACAAGTGTTTGCCGTATTTTCTTTCAAAATAAGCGGCGAACGAGACCCGCCTCAGAATTTTCTTTCATATAAAAAAGGGCGAGAGAAAGAAAGATATCGAATATCTGGCGTTGACGAGAAAAGTGATATTGGAGCGGGAGGGAGAAGCAGTCATACGAACAATTGCTGCTGCTACGCAGTGATGTTGCCTGCCAGAAGTTTGTTTGTTTGTTGAATGGCTAGGCGGATGGATGGATGGAAAAGTTTCCAAGAGGCACTGCTGAGATTTTTGCTACGAGGGCGAAGAATTTTTCTTGTTATTATCGAATTTTATGTTAATATCGTAACATTAAATTTTTATATACAATGAAAAATCCAGTCATTGTTAACATTATAAAGCAAAAAATTGCGCCTCACTGAGATGTTTTGTTTTTATCAAATTAATGGAATTTTCGCAATTTACCTCCGTTAATTAATCAAATTAATGGTGTTATTTTTCTTCTGTCAATCAGCGTATTTTTCAAAATAAAAAAGAGCACGCAACGCAATGCCTTGTCGTTGCTCATATGGAAATTTAATTATAGGCATATTGCGGCACAACATATTGGAGCACTATACGCTAATTATTGAGTATGCAGCAAACAAGCAACGCCAATTATAGCGCGCTTGATATGGCAAACGCTGCGGCTCGTTTGTTGATCTTTGCCGCGACATGGTGAATATTTCAGCGGCACATAACGTGCATGACTAATCAATTACCGATCCATTTGCGAAAATTTTGTAAAAATGCACTGGCAGCTAAAAGCCTCTGTTAAAATTTTTAATTCAATTTTGGAATTTTAATTTTTTTTATGGAGTCGTCACATAATAATGTGCGAAAATTGAATTTCCGAATTGCAAATCTGACATTATGAAATTCCACCAGTTTGGTTACTGCATGGGATGGCAGAATTTTTCGTGACATAAATAAGAAAACAGCTGTTATCCCAATTTATTTCAGTAGTTTTATCTAAAATTTTAAATTTTAAAATTTAAATATTAAGTTTTGATTTCTTATTATACTGTAATAAAAATGCGTTCTTTGTAAGAGCACCGACTGATATGAGCATGCATTGTTGCAGATAATAATTATTAAGAAGTACCACTCTCCAATGAAAACATACTACTCCCAATGAGTCAGCAAATCAAATGAATGAATTCATTGAACAGACAAAAAAATACAAATTGTTAACAGTATTAAAATTTAATACAATTTAATTTGCTTTATAAACAAATAAAAAATAGTATAAATTAATATTTTTATTTCATTCTGAATTATCAAAACTGTTTATTATTATAATTTTTTAATAATACATCAATACAATTTTATCTTTTTATTCTTGTTAGACCTGGATTTAACTGAATTAATAAAATTAAGTTTTTTTTTACATGATTACACTTTATAAATTTATTTAAATATTATATAAATATTTAAAACTTTGCAGATATAAAATATTTCATAATCTTTAATACATATATATAGGAAATGAAATTTTTTGAAAAAACTGCATTCAGTCACGTGTCATGCATTTGAAATGCTATGAAATGCTAAAAGTTCTTGCAACATTCCTTGTCGCTACACATATAGGAGCGCGAGAGCAAATTGAAACTCGGGCAACGAGGGCAGCGTTCAGACCTGACGAGCTGTTGTCAATGTGTCATTAGCAAAAATTGCACCGAGATTGTTTGCTGGCACAAACAAACGCCCAAATTAAGGCGTGCTCTCAGAATCGCGCAGGCTCAATTATGGGTGGCGTGAGAGGCCTTGATGAAGTGTGAAATCATCGCTAGCTGAAATGGGAGGCGCGTAATTGGCTATGTAAAACATCAAATAAATAAAGTGAGCAAATTTGCTTCAGAAAATTGCAAACGTGTCGAGACAAGTTGGTTGGAAAAAACTAGGGAAAAGTCTCACTCAGCCACAAGAAAGAAAAACAGAAGAGAGCCGAGGCGTGCTCTACTGAGTTCTCTCTTTTTCTCCCTCAATATTTCTCCGCACACGACTGTTTTAAAGCAAGCGTACCGAAAAAAGAAAAGGCTACCTGCTGCTGCAGCAGCCAACGCCGCTGAGTGAATTATAAATTGATGTTGACTTTGCGAAATCAGTTCTGCTCGTCGCGTGTAATGTGTTTACATTGTTGTCAGCACTTTGCAGTCTTTCAGCCGCCGCGCGCCACTGAGAGATGCTTGCTCTCCCGAGGAGCTGCAGCGCAACGTGTGTCTCTGCATAATTCGGGCTCATTTTCCTACCCGAGTGCACCCGCCGCCAGGTATACAACGGAGCTTATCTGGTGACGAGAGCAGAGAGAATGATTTAAAATCTGCGCTAGAAAATGTCCTTGTGCAACTGTAGGAGGGGAGATGGCAGACGAATTTCAATTTATATTGCCAAGATAAAATTTTGCATTAATCATAAAAGTAGTTATTAAATTTAGTAAGTATATTAAATTTACAATAAAATTTTAACTATTACGTAGACAAAATAATATTTATAATAGTAATGAATGCAGTCATGCGGAATGTTCAGTACAATTTAGAATTTAGAAAATTACAAAATGTGTAATTTTAATCATTATATTTCAAGTGTGTCATCTTTATTTACTCATCTATTTTCAAATTCAAAGTTATACCCCTTAAAAAAATTATTAAATTTAATTATTCACTATAATTTATGTTTCGATCAACGAATCACCATCAAATATAAAATTGATTAAGCAACACTCTTGACGTTGATGACGTGCTGGTTGCATACCCACATTTCAGCAGGCGCTACATATGTGATGCCTTTATTAATTTAATTTTATCTGTGGAGTTGAAACACGAATTTTCCAAGCGCAGCTGATTAACTTTCTAGAGTTGCTAAATAGTTTAAACGATCTGCCTCTTACAAATATTTTCTCAGCCGCAGAGTAATTAGGCGAGGAGCAGAAGACACGCCACGCTACTCCCCTGTGCTTCTGTTGCTCGGCTGATAAGAAGCGACGCGATCGTGCATCGCGCTCAAACTTATGTGAATATTACGGCGCTGAAATTATGTCAAAAGTTTCTGCATAATGGTGCACGAGGACGGAATACACTCGTGTGTTATTGCGGAGAGGTGCTTTGTGATTACAAGTTGGGGAATTCAACGCGATGACGTCGCCGCGCTGCCGACGACGCCCGTCCTGTCATAAAGCAGCGCACTTTCGACGCTCGGACGACTTATAAATTCACAATGGCAACTTTCTTATCTGCAATTTCTATGCTATCGCCCTCTGAAGAGAACGTAATGCGACTTGAATGTACTTTTGAAGCCACTTTAATTGCGCGAGAGAGAGAAGCGCTTCACAGCAGTTGCGATCGGCAGACTCACCTGCTGCACTTTAATGGCAGCAGATGAAATTGTCAAGCAGCTCCAAATAAAATTTTATTTAAAAAAAAACTTAATAAAAAAAATAATAATTGAAGTAAAGCGATGCACATTTTACATTCTAACTTGTGTTTTGATGTGATTACAGTTACTTAAAACGTTCTAAATTATTCGCTGTCTAGCTGTTGTGAGTCTATATTTCCGCTTGTTTGATGGTTTCCGTGTAACATTCAAAAGATTTATAACCAGAATTAATGTCGCATAATTTTAAGTGAAAGAGCAGCATCGTCTATTTTTGATGAAATATATAGTGAGTAGGGCTTTTCCTCGTTGCATAATTAATAAATATATAATATTTCCGGTAAAGTCACATTGCAAATCGTGATTGACTCCTTGAGTTTCTTTGAAATTAAATTGACTTCTTCAATATTCAATATTTTATAAATAGTGTGAAAATCAAAGCACTAATGAAGTACTCTGTGTAATTTTTTATGGCAGCAGATGTTGGCTTTTGATTAGGAACTTGATCGGCGACTGCAGCTGCAGAAACTAGCTGGCTTATTCCTTTGAAAAAGCACAACCAGCACTTTTCCACCATGAGAGCTCGGCGGGGGTAATTGAAAAGTTTTGCCAGAGAGCAGTTAAGGCGATGATTTTGAGCTACAAAAGAAAAGAGGCCCTTGACGAGCGGCTGATCGAATTTTCCTTGGCAGAGAGGCCGGCAAGGAGAGAGAAATAATTTTGGCAACTACGTGATGTTTTCGTCCACGAGGCCGAAAACAATAAAAGAAAATGCTCCCCCGTCGGCGCAGGCACCGCCATTCTTCTCAAGGGCATTGCTCGTTGAGAAATGAAAATTGCTTCTAGCAGGCGCATTATCCCGCTTAATTAGAAGCGCGGATAAATTAAGCGCGGCGCACAATTTACTGGCTACGTGCACCGCCGAGGAATTTAATAAAATAGCACAAAAAAGCGTGCGGCGCCGTGAGAAAGTACATCTTATCGCCTCGGCACGTTTTGCCAACACATCTCACGCATTCCCTCTCTCTCTCTCTCTCTCTCTCTCTCAGCTTCTCTATAAACTTAACTCGTGGCCTAATATGAACAACAAACACGCGAATAACGTTAACCTTTTATTTGCACCCGCACGCCTTCGAGCTTTAAGTACCAACGATTTATTTTATTATCGGCCATTTTTGTTGGCGTGAAAGGACCCGGCTGGAGGCGGCAGACGGAAAATGGCTCACTCGCTCTCCATTCAATTTTGTTGCTCTCCTGGGTTTAATTGATACTTTTTGGCTCCGATATTGTCTAAGCTTATTGAATTTTTCTGATTAAATTGAATAGGAGTGGCAGTAATAAACAATATTGCAAAAATAAAAAATTTCTAACTCGGAAAAAATAATAAATGAGGAGTTTTTTCCAATTAATAAGTCCATAGAAAAATTAAAGCTATGGTCAAATGGGCTGCTGTGAAAAGTCGGGATTGCCAAATTATCATTAGATTATGTTAAAAGTGCTGAAAATGCTTCTGAAAATATCACTCTGGTGTAAAATTTGCAACAATGAACTATTTTTCTCCTTGATACACAACTATTTTGATATTAGCATCTGAAGTATCTTTTTCAAATAAATCTGTTTTTTAGAATTAAATTTTGGAAGAGAATTGACAATTACCAGCTCTATTAAGATGTATTATTAAATTAAATTCAGTATGCCTGTAGAGTCTATTAGATATGAAATTAATTAATTATAAAAAAATATACATATCAATTTGAAACCTTGAGAAGTGCATACAATTAGAATTGATAAAAAAAATTTCTTTTGCCAAAGTATTGAGCAGAGTAAAACTTTTTACTGTAACTAACAATAAGACTGTTTGGCCTGAAAAGTCTTCTTTCTGGGGGTAAAAAAGAGATTTTTTTATTCCCCGTTAGTTTATAACAAAGTACTGTACAAGCAAAGAAAAAACACGGCAGTGGCAAGTTGAAAATCCAGACCCCTACAGTGGCTCTACGGCCGCGCAGAATGAAGAGATTACTGTCACCACAGATATGATCTATGCATAAGAGTGAGTGGTTCTTGATTGTCAGTGGCACTTTGCGACTGCCGGTCCTAAGCATGCCCATCACGCACGCAGTTGCGGCCAACGAATAGGAAAAAAGAATAGTCTGCGCCTTTTTTCTCCGCGCGTGCACCTTTAGATGACATTTTTTCTCTCTTCTGACGACGCTGGAGAGAAACCAAGGGCGAGGAAACTTTTCTTTATAATAAACTTTTGGTTATAGTTGAAATTGGATTGCGTGTCATCTCTGCAGAAGCTTCTTTGAGATAATGGTGCCCGAAATGGTGCAACCGTAATAATGCAGAAAGCCAAGTATGCGGCGGACGTACGTTTTATACGTGGCGTTTCTCTCCAAAGGGAAATCAAAACTTGCAGCGCAGCCACTCCAAAGTGAAGTCGCTTCGCGCGTGTCGCATCTCTGTAATTATAGCAGTATAATATATTCTACAACTTGGGAACGTTTAAGATTTATACTATTCTACTAACCCTGAAGGTCACATTCGTGAGCAAATTTGACGATTCTCTTTTTTGATGTGCGTCCAACCAAACAAATAAAGAGGTCAAAGACTTTTTCTTGTATTTCTCTAGATCATGAAATTTATTTTAAAATCAGTTTTGGACTTTTGATATAGGAAAATTAATCTCACAAAATATAACATCGAAATATTATGATAGCAAAATCATTTTGCTACTACTCTATTATTACTGATAATACTGATTTTTTTTCCTCAACGTCATGCAATGTTCTGCGAATTTTATAAGATTGCATGAAATGATCAAATATTGCGTAATACAAAACAAAAAGAAGTGGCAAAAAGAGCATAATTACCTTCCTTTTGGGCCTTTGGCAGAAAAGTCCATGTTGTCAGTCTTCTCCCTGCGCGCGCTTCTGCAAGCAACGCTACTCTAGACTTTAATGGCACGCCCCCTCGTAGGGGGGCGGGGTCATTTGCTCTGCGACGTAGGACGCAGACTTTTGCAGCTTGACTTTCCGCATCCGCATAACAAACTGTTAGACTTTTTATCATGACCCTACCAGTTAGACTTTTAAGTCTAAATCTTTCCTGCAACTCCTGCATGAGTTTCCACCAGATTCTAGAAGGAAAGTCAAAGGCTTTTTATACTTGTCATCAACAGCAATATACTGCGTCTCTATCCACCCGCTGCAGCAGTTGACGATTGCAATTCAAACTCACGAGAGTTCTTGCTTTTGGGCCATTCGAGGAGACCTGAAAATCATCACTTATATTGCGTCTTGAGCAAACAGGTATGCAGTACATAATTGTTCATTTCATTATGCACCGGATGTGCACACAAAACTATTAACTATAAATTATCTCACTGTATATTTAAATCAATAATTACACACCTTTTGATTCTCTGCATGCTAATTATTCTATTAATCTTCCAGTAAAAAAATGAATAACCAGCAACTTCTCCCTGTTGACTACCGCGATGAGTTTGTCAGAATCCAAACCTTTCCACAGAGCTGGTCTGCTCATTACAAGAAAGACGAATTAGCCAAGGAAGGTTTTTTCTGCATCTCCAACAGTTCTTGGGTTTGCTGCTTTGCCTGCACTGTTAATTTGAATACTGAAATTGCCGACCTGGTCTCCATTCGCGGCCAACATATGACAAAATCGCCTTCCTGCCCTATGGTCCTCAACACGGAGTGTGGAAATGTGCCCATGACTCACAAAACTATTTACAAGTTAGTTCTTTTAAACATTTTTCTCTTTCACATAGTATTATAATTTTTTTTCTGCAGGTGTGAAAGGGATCGATTGTATTCATTCTGCTGTGTTGATTTCCGATGGCCTGTGGACGTCCATGACTTGGCAAAGAGTGGATTTTACTATGACCCTAGCAGGAAATCATCATGCTGCTTCTTTTGCAAACTGCAGATTGGCAGTTGGACTTTAGGTACATATTTTTAATTAATCTATAAATGGATCACTTTGTGGCAAAAGTCATTTGAATTTCCTAAAAAATATTTTTTACAATAATAGCAAAAATGTTTATTTTTTTTTTTCTTTTCAGAAAATCTAGTTAACTCTTTTCAAATGAGTACTTTACAGTTGTTTTGAAGAAAGTCTTCATAGATAATTGAGAAAAGTCTCACCAATTATATCCTTAAAGTTAAAAAAGCTCATGAATTTTTAGCTTGTGGTAGAGGGGGAGGGGCATAGTGAGACTTTTTAAACGAATTTCCTTTACTTCACATTACTTATGTTTAAATATTATTCTTGCAATATAGCAAAAAAAAATTGAAAATTTAATCTTTAATGCATTGTAGGCGACACAGGACTTACTGAACATCAAAAATACAATCCAACCTGTAGTTACTTCACGCAGCAACCAGGAGTTGAAAATGTTCCTTTGGGACTAGAAAATACGCCACAGGGTGCCAAGATCATCAATGCGGCCCTTGCTGAAGGTAGTGTAATCCTTTGAAAAATTGAATTTTCAATTGGCCAAATATCAAATTCAAAGTTTAAATATGAATATTGGGTTCAAATTATGGACCAGAGCTTATCTAAATGTCTTTTAATGAGTTTGTTTAACTTTGAAAACAAAATATTTGAATTTTTTAATTAAGATTCAAATTTCATTACAAAAATGAAAAAATGATTTACACATGAAAATATCAATTGATTGCAATGGTGGGTCTACATTTGATATGTAACTTCTTTCTTTATTCATTTTTAACCTGTGCACAAAATTTTGTCCTGTAGAATCCAATCCGAATCAACAGTTGCAACCACTTGCCATTGGCGAGCCACCGAAAACCGCAAAATATAAAGATAAGAAGGACAGGATGAGCTCCTTTGCGACATGGCCAGCCAGTATGAAACAGAGACCTGGAGAGTTAGCTGATGCTGGATTTTTCTACTCTTGTAAAATGTTAATGTTATTTGGATCGGCAAAAACTAAATATTAATTTATCTATAGCCACTGGTGATCATGTTGAATGTTACCAGTGTGGTGGACGCCTAAGAGACTGGGGTCGTGAAGACATACCGTGGGAGGAGCATGCATTTTGGTTTCCATACTGCGAACTTGTTAAGGTTGTGAAAGGTGTGGATTTCATTAGCGAAATGCAACACAGGGTATGTTAATTTAGTACCAACTTGATTAATGTTACATAACTTATTACTCTACTAACATGCTTGGTTTACTATTTTCATTTCTCCTCTTTTCAGAAAAAAATTCCCACCAATAAGAGGTCAACTATAGCTCCCATTGATTCGTGAGTCAATTTGAAATATACCGAATGCCATATATAGATTATGACATTTTATTATAGTGATATCCTGGATGAGGATGAATCAATTGAAATTGACGGGGGACCTGCTAATGATCCACCAGGTGATGACGCATTAAGAGAGGTCCGCCTTTGCAAGGTGTGCCTTACTAAAGAGTTGGGAATTGTTTTTCTTCCTTGTGCCCACATGGCCACATGTCCTGATTGCGCTCCACAGCTGACGACATGTCCGATATGCCGGTCAAACTTCTGCGCTTACGTTAGGGCATTCCTGCCCGCTTAATCAAGTAACCATAGAAAATTTCAATATTTCACGGCGTTTATAAATGTAAACTGGATTTGGGTTACCCTAAATAGTGTAATGTACTAAATAGCACTAATAATAGAATTATTCAACATTATAATTATAATTGCATACCATTTATTATCTTTTCTTATCTAATTGTTGTAAAATAATATTCATTTCTTCTCGAAATTTCGAATTAAATATTTTCCTTTTCAATTACATTATCTCTTTTTTAAACATAAAAAATAAATACAAGTTATATCTATAGTAAAGAAATTTGTTTCAATCATTTAATAATTTTGGGAATAATAATTTACGGTTGTATGGGTGGCAATTTAACATTCTGAGCTGGAAGTCCGATGACCCCAAGGCCAGTTACTTTAAAAACGCAACCAGCTAAAGGCTGTTTTTTTTTTTTTTTTTTTTTTTTTTTTTTTTTTTTTTTTTAGGGTCAGGCCAAGACAAAGTCTTGTCGGCCTGTGCCCTATAGTTGAGTCAATTCTTCATCAGTGAGCCTGTGCCTAGATGTAGTGACATACAATACGTCAAAATTTGGTCCTCCCCAAACAGCAGAAGTCACAAGTGTCACAGGAAACTGAATTGATTGTAGGAGTTGCCCTTCAGGGTTAATTTGAATCACCTTTAATAATTTAAAGTCTTAGTTTTGGACAAACATAAAAGTTTACTCACAATTATACCTGTGAACCAAAATAACTTGCGACCCACAAGTTTCCCTCCGAGTCAATGCTCATTGAATCGGGAATTCCGGTAACATTGTTAGCTGTAAAATCAAAAAAGGTCCTCCTGTTGCCTACAGAAAAGTTTTAATTTAAATTAATAATTGACATTTTATGATAATATATTTTTTACTCTATTCTGTTGAACTATTTGCTCTCACATAAGTTAAATTAACTACTTACTAGCATCTCCAGTTGAGATATCATAATCAAAGACATCAACGCCCAATGTTCCAGTATCAATGTAATACATCAAAGTGTTATCCAGACTCCAAGATATACCATTACTAACGTCTATATTACTGTCCACTTGGGAGAAAGTTGAGTTTTCGTTAAGCCTGTAAAGGGAACCCTGGCCCGGTGGAATTTCACCTGTTGGTCCTTCAGGCCCCACAGTACCTGGACGCATAATATTACTTTTAATATTTTTTACTTCTCATTGAGCGGTCTGAATTTAAAATTTAATTTCCTAGTTTATTTTTTTAATTACGGTTAGTATCAAATGCTTCGACAGAAACATTTAACACACTAAAAACTATTCAAATTAAATTTGATTAATTTTAAATTATTGTGAAGAGGAAAGAAATTATTAAAAAGAGTTGGATTTATTTATAATACGAAGGAATCGTAAAAATGCGCTCTAACAAATAATAAAACATAATAATATCTAACCTGCCCACAATCGTCCCCTGGCGTCAGCTCTGGCTTCATTGAAACGATTTTCAGGCAAGTTGTTCTCTACTGAAGCTATTGAGCGTATAATTGTGGCCACATTCAGGTCATCTATGCCAACCAACAAAACTTCTCGCCGGCGGCTGATAGCAAATTCATTCTCATTATCTGGAAGTTAAAAGATTAATAATCAAAGAGGTTTTTTCTGTACTGAACTGCGCGCATAAAGAAGAAAAAATAAATTGGGAAAAATATTCAATTATATGAAATTAGGATATGACAATAAAATAGATATATGCACTGCGCTTTTACCAACAGTGGGTATGATAAAAGTAACAGGATTGTCTCCAGGCGGGATGAAGATCCGGGAAAAAACTTCATCGGATGCGTTGTATTTGAGGACGATGCCAGCGTCGATATCAATAAAATAAAGGCAATTGTGAATTGGTGACCAGTGGGGTCCCTCGCCAAAAATTACAGGCTCCGTGACAGGAACAATTTCAATCGCCTTTAAATGTGCGTCTGTTTTTTGTATTTTACTATAGAACACGAAGAGAGCAAAATATTATATTATTAAAAATGTGTAAAATTCCAAAATTGCTCTATTTTACCTAGTTTTAGCAACTCCTCCCGTTATATGGCTTAATAATATGACAGCCGCTAGTAAAAATGTTGCTGTTTTGCAAAGCATTTTCTTGACTCTATACTCAACAATCTGCTATGATAATGACACAAAGATGCGCAGTCTATATCTCTGATTTTCTGCGGCTCCTTTGTATGCCAAATTCCAATCAGATAATTTTTATCTGCCGTTTTTCTTTTATCAAATGTATTGCAGTGTACATCATTAAATTATAAATTGGTGTGTTGAAGCCCGTCGGTGAAGACGGTGAAGTAATTTTTACAATAAGATATGATTTCATCTCTGGTCTCAGATGAATTCTCTTCAGTGGTTAAATCATGTTCGTTGACTGCATTTCAAAATTTATTATCTTTAGTTAATTATTCTAATGTGTTTTAACAAATAAAAAAGGACCAAATTATATACTAAATTCAATTTTGCACAATGTATTTTGCTATGATATCTTTCATATGTTCTAGACGACAAGACAAAGTTTCAAATAGTAATTATTAGCAATTGTTCTAAATTACCATTTGCACAGTTTGTGATTTGCGATATATTGCAAAAAATTTTATTATCTTATTGTTATTTGAAATATCATTTTTCTTAAAATGTTTAAAAATATTTAATAAGCAGAGGGAAACATTTTAATATATATAAAATATAAAAGAAAACAGAAACTTTAATTAATTTTTTGTAGAACATAGTTTAAATATTTTTTTAATAATAAAGCCAAGTGAAAACTATAAATGTTAAGTGGACCATAAAAGCAAATTTATAGAATAATAAGTTACATAGATCTATTTATTTTACAAAATATGAATTAAATGATTCATTTATAGTTGAATATGGGTGGCAATTTTACATTCTGAGCTGCAAGTCCAGTGACCCCCAGGCCAGTCACTTTAAACACACAACCAGCCAAAGGCTGCTGGGCTAATTCTTCGTCGGTGAGCCTGTGCCTAGATGTGGTGACATACAAAACGTCAAAATTTGGTCCTCCCCAAACAGCAGAAGTCACAAGCGCCACGGGTAACTGAATGGATTGAAGCAGTTCTCCATCAGGGCTTATTTGGATCACCTTTAATATAATATATAATAAAAATTATTTTAATTATTTTGGTGTATTTTGCATTAGCAACAAGTTAATTTTTTTTCTTAAAAAAAAAGCAATGAGAATGAATTACTTTTTTACAATTACCTGAGAACCAGCATAACATGTGACCCATAAGTTGCCTTCAGAGTCAATGCTCATTGAATCAGGAACTCCCGAAACATTATTGGCAATAAAATCGAAAAACTTCCTCTTGTTGTCTATAGAAAATTTAAATTTTTTCATATATTTTTAATCATTCGTATGCATATATAATTCACGACAATTCACGAGAAGCTTTGCAAGTGTTTCTCACAATCAGCAAATTATCAATAAAACTGCAGCTTACCAGCTATGCCAGTTTCAATATTGTAGTCAAAAACGTCAACTCCAAAGGTTCCAGTATCAATGTAATACATCAGAGAATTGTTCAAACTCCAAGCAATGCCGTTGCTAACATCGATATTACTTTCCACTTGAGTGAACGTCGAATTTTCGTTGAGCCTGTAAAGGGAACCATCACCACCCGCTGGTATTTCTCCATTAGGTCCTTCAGGGCCAACAGTACCTGACGAAAAAAAAATTATTCTCACTTATTCAACTTTATAAAATATTCAATAAAATTTATTATTCTAGAGATATTTTGTATTGAAGGTGTTAAATAATCCGGTGCAGATATCTGGTGTAGAAATAAAATAATTATATGAAGGAAGGTTGTAGCTATTTATGCACTCGGTGAAAATAATATCACAGAAAGATTAAATTTTTCTAGTACTTTGTTATAAGACAATATTGTGAATTTATAAAAAAAAAATTGACACAACTTGAAATATAATAACGACGCAAAAAAATGTAAATATACACACCAGCCCACAATCGTCCTGTGGCGTCCGCTCTGGCTTCGTTGAAACGATTGTCAGGCAAGTTTAACTCTACCGTTGCTACTGAACGAATTATTGTGGCCACGTTCAGGTTGTCTATGCGGATCAACAAAACTTCTCGTCCGCGGCTGATAGCAAATTCATTTTCATTCTCTGCAGATTATATTATATTAATTCTTAAAATTTGCTTCCATTAAAATTAAAAAAATATAATTATATATATTTTACTAAGATTGGAGCTTGCCTTCCGCAAGCTCAATAAGGGCACAGGCCGACAAGACACTTTGTCTTGGCCTGACCCAATAAAAAAAAAAAAACATAATAATCAAATGAAATCTATATTTTAATATTTTACCAATAGTTGGGATGATAAAAGTTACAGGATTGTTTCCAGGCGTGATGAAGATTCGGGAAAAAGCTTCATCAGTCGCGTTGTATTTGAGGACAATGCCAGCGTCAATATCAATAAAATATAGGCAATTGTGAATTGGTGACCAGTGGGGTCCCTCGCCAAAAATTACAGGCTCCGTGACAGGAACAATTTCAATCGCCTTTTTCGGTGCTTCAGATTTTTGCTTTTCATTTTCACTTTAGTTGCAAAAAACAAGATTAATTGAAAATGAAGCCAATATGTAAAAAATTCCATCCTCTCTTTTTTACCTTTTTTCAGCGATTCCTCCAGAAATAAGGCCTGAAGATAACAAGACGGCCGCAAGCACACAAACCGCTGCTTTGCAAAGCATTTTCTTGCTGCAGAGAGACGCGATAAAGCGATGGCGAAGTCTTTATATAATATCTGATCACGACGGTTCCTTATGCCAAATTGCATACCTATTCGTTTTTTACACATTTCAGATTCACTTAAAAGCCTGCTTCAAGGCTAAACGGATATTTGCATAACACTTAAAACTTGTCTTATCATGTGAATTGAAGTGTACTTAATCGTACATATTTCTGAAGCGGGAGACTTTACCATCATGACTGGCCGCTTTTTATTTACTTGCCTAATAGAGTGCTCACAAAACTTCTCTTTATTTGCAAGATTTGCAATTTTTTTGTTTTTATTTTTATGAAATGAATTCAATTCTATAAATAATTACATGCTCTGATTCATTAAAATATGTTTTCTTTTTATTTTAGTACCTGACTCAAAATGGTTTTCAGATTTTGTAGAGTGGCAGAGTATTTATTTATTTAATTTTAAAAATTTATTGTTTTTTTGTGATGGAAATTTCAGGACACTAATTTGCCAGAACGCAGATAAATATTTATAACTGATAAACTTTACTTCAGCAGCGAACTGTTGATCGGAAGCCCTGTTCGTCATCACGGTGGCAGTAATGGCAGCGCAAACGGAAATGGGTCCCTACTCTTGTAACAGCTCCATGCCCTGTCGCGTTGATCATTGAGCCATATGAAACACTCTAATTTCTTTGTATTAGGTTTGCACAACATTTGAATTCTTTTGGAAAAAAAATGCACATATATCTGTGCTCCACTACGCATGTGACATGAAGTTCCTTCTAATACTATTGCTAGTACTTAATTGGGTGAGTTTGGCAAGCGCCGGTTCTAATTAATAGTGGATTTGTGGAAAATTGCAGTCGCAACCCATTGGTTTTCAGATAGGATATGATCTTATAGATGCTCAGAGTATTAAATTCAACCCACTCCTGTTTTTTACAAACAGTGTAGATGGTAAGCTGTGGAACAAATTAAGATTAATTAAGCCAAAACAAATAATTTAATTTTTTCCAATTATGCTTTTTTTAATTTGAAATTTAATCACTGAATTTGATTGATTTTTATAATTTATAATTTTTATGCGGCATAACTGGATGTAATTGAAAAACAATTATTTACAAAGGGATTGAGATTTCTAAAATGTAAAATCCCTTTTACAAAATATTAAAGAATTCAAATAATTATCTTTTGCTTTAATTAAATAGCTTGGTCATCGCAAATCAATAGCAGCAGAGAAAGTACCTGTCTGCAAATGTGTGGAAATCTTGCATCAAAGTTTAAAATAAACCCACCAACGCTTCCTCCATTTTTCTTCAATGTGCATTGGCAACATAAAAACTCTGTTAATTGCAGCTCTGAGGTGAATATTATTCATAAAATACTTTTGCACAAATTTTCTGCATATAAAAGTCTATAAAAATATTTACTTTTAATAGGTGCGCCGCTTAAAACCACTTTGCCACGGCTGGTGTAAGTTTCAATCGACATGTTATTTCAATTGACCGCGGATGGAAATTTAGAAAAGCTTTACTCCTCACAGAAATCGGTTAGGTACCCATCGTGTTTACAATTGCGATACTTCTAGTATACTTTTAGTATTCATCACGTCTCGCGGTCTAAAACGCTTATTTTTCGGTCCCGCACGCATACATTTGCAATACTCTAGGTTTACTTTTGACAGCTCGCCTGCTGCGCGACCCTTGCCGGCCGCGCTCTAAAATACATGCGTTTGCATCCCTCCCCCTCCTTTCTTTACAAAACACAATAGTTTGACGAGCAGGTATAAAAACCCTCCCTCATAAGGCCCGTGTTAAACAGGTATACAGTTTTTAAAAAGTAAAGCAAGTGAATAGCAAAAGTATAGCTGAAGTATCGCAAAAGTAAACACGATGCGGATCTAAATTTTTTCTGTGAGTCATTATAATGATTTATTTTTACTTAATATAACTTTTCTGCAGACAACCTTTTGGATATTGTGCAGATTGGTGGATTTCAGTATTTATTCCCTCTTGACAAGCAGGTTGAAATATATTTATAATCGAAAAATGAAAATGCGTGTGAACAAAAATTAATAAATAACAATTTTCAGCTGAAGTATCATGATGCGCAAAAGTATTGCAGATCAAGAGGTCTTGACTTGGTCACCCTCAAAAATCAAACTCATGAGGGTTTCGTATTTTCGTCTTATCTTAAGTACTACGCAAACATAAGTAAAAACTTCAAAAACCTTTAAAAAAAAAAAAAAAAAAAAAACAATTAATTATTCTTTAAACCACATCTCAGGTGGTGTTAATCTGACTGCACAAAGTCGGCTTGTTTTTTGGGAAGGCAGAGCGGAGAAGATAAGCGATAGGGTCGCATCAATGACTTGCCCCTCTTTTTCAATGTACGTTTTTTGCGCTATTTTATGAGCTGTACATTTTCAAATGAAAAATTTTCGCAGAGCAAGCAACCAGAGTGACCTCCGAGGGTTGATCGCCAGCAGATCGAGCGATAATTGCGGGAGCCTGAACAGATTTTTCTGCGAAGTGCCCACAGTATGTTACAGGGACATCTGCCGTGCAAATTTCATTTCAAGATTTAAGGTAAAATTTTAATTAAATTTTGAAATGAACATTTAAATTCGATCTACAGGTGACACCGGCGCCGGCGCCTAACCCTATGGCTACCACGCCAAAAGTGGCGATAGCCAATCAACCTCAATTTGTTTGCGAGCAGTGCCATGTATTTGTGAAGTCTTTGAATATATTATTGCGTTTTAAACAAAATTTCGCAGCTGAACCACTCGATTATGTTTACTTCGGCCTGTCCAGACCTAGAATGCCCCGCGTGTCCTTCAAATACAATTTTCGGTTTGTTGTTTCTAGAATTTTTCATTTTTTTGTGAACATATAGAAGCACACGATTAATAATTCATAAAAATTTTAATTTAAAATTAACCAAAATATCCAGATGGCAAAAGAGGAAGGTTATGCAACAGGAAGTATTTCTTTTTCCTTGACACTAAGGTAAGAGAAAAATTGCACACATACTTTCAATTAAAACATGTGCACAAGGTAAATTTTTATGATGCGGCGACTGCTTGCTGTAACATTGGAATGCAAGTTGCTTCAATAATGACTGACGATGACGTTGAGTGCGTCAAAGAATATTTATCAGGTATATAATTTGTAATTTGCAATTTTATTCCTTTTATGAAAAACATATAGATGGAATATTGCGATTCACTGGAGACCCGTCCGACACTGGAAAGTGGATGTGGACTTCAGGCACGGACCAGGGAAAGACTTGCCAGGGCAGATTTTCCTGGTGCGGAAATAATAGAGCGGTCAATTCTCTTCCAAGAATGCCATTCGATCCTGCAGCCCAGACGGATTCCGACTGCTTGGCCCTCAACTCGAAGATAATCGCCTCAAATGAAATTACCTTCTCACTAACCGGGAAAGGCTGTATAAATAACATGGCAGTATTGTGCGAAGTAAAAAAAAAAACACATCAGTGTACTTTATCACAAATGATAATACCTAATAAAAATTTTAAAAAAAAGTCCAGAGCCGCTCCAGACGCTCCACGCACTACTTCCCTATCCAGAACGAGCACTTGCAAAAATTACACAAACAGCTGCCCAAGTAAGGTGGATATTTCGGAAAGGGTACGTCAAAGTTTTTTTTTATCATCGAAGACAATGAATTTAAATTTGTATTCAGGTAGCTAACCAAAATGAAGTAAACAGGAGATCAGGTAAAGCTATAAGAAAATCTTAAAAATCATGTTATGCATCTAAATTGAAATCAATGCAGGCGGATTCAAAAGTTATTTCATGTGCGACGCATATTATGAAGTAATCATTGGCACAGTAAGCGCTCGAACATATTATCAAAAAAATTAGTGCTTGAATTTGAGTTGACTCTCTGGATGGATTTCTATGACGTTTCATCGTTTTGTAGCCTTTTAATCTTGACCTAGGTCAGGGATTGCTCATGATTTACGGCATTAGCCAAAATGTGCAAAGCAGGATATACTTTTTTCATTGAAAAATAATTTATTTAAGTGACTCTAAAAATTCATTTTGAAATTCAAGTACATGATAAATTAAAGCCCGATATAAATAAAATTTATGAATTTAAATTTTTACACCAGGCTACGTTTGATAACGCCGAAAAAAGTTGTGAAGAAAGGAGACTGGAGCTGGCCTCGATCGAGAGTTACGAGGAACTGAACTGCGTTAGGGATTTATTTCAATACGTCCATTTTGGAGGTCAACTTGTTCAAACCGATGGTGATGAGCTTGAAATGGGAATCAGTTTTTTTTTTACAAATCATAATCATATTAAACTTCAGGCATTAAGGAAATGGAGGCGTCTTCAGATCGAGCGTGGATTAAGGCTTCTGACAAGGCGTGTGAAGGAAGAGAAATTTCTTGGTGCAACAGCCGCAATTCAATTAGCACTCATTTGCTAAAGACAAGCTCAGGCATCAATAGATGCGTTGCCATAGATCTAAAGCTATCTAGGTTCGGTCTTACTACTCTACCATGTGAGCAGCAGTCAATGTACCTGTGCAAAGTATGACGTAGACTTATTTATTTTTCTAATTCATGAATATTTTTTTTAAAGGAAAACACTTCGTGCAAATACCCAAAATGCCCTGAATTAAACTGCTCGGTTTGCTACTTGAAAGCACTTTTGATTAAAAAATTTAATTATTTAAATTTCTTCTAAAGGCTTTAGTGCAAGTGGAAAAATCATCAAAAGCGTGTGGCTCAACGTATGTAGTTTTTGATCAACCGGTAAGCTGAGCTTTGAGGAAAAATACAATTAAATTTGCTATATATAAAAAAAAATTATCCGATAGAAATCTATGAAAGAGGCTATGGAGACGTGCTGTAAAATGGGAATGGGACTTTTGGCAATCAACTCGGCCGAAGAGTCGGTTTGCCTGAACAAATTCATGCGCGCATCTTTTCCCAATCTGCCCAAAGTATGGACCTCGGCAACGGATTTAGATTGCAGAGGCAAATACGCGTGGTGCAGCACAGGAGAAATGCTGGCTTACGAGGGCTTCAACGCCTTTTTCAACCCTCCGAATAGCGTCAGTTTTTTGGAAGTTGAGAATTGCGTGAGCGCCAATTTCGACACGTCCCAATCGACACAGTTGGTGCGAGAATTTTGTGTTGCCAAATTGGGCTTTGTGTGTGAATCGGTTGCTCAAAAGTTTGCCGGCGTCGTATCCGGGCCTGTCTCGCCATCGCTGAATCGTCTTTTCAATACAATTGTTTTGAAGAATTGAACACAGAGGACAAATTACCTTTTAAATTTAAATAATATTATGAACTACGAACAAATAAAAAAAACTATTCAAAAGAAAATTAATAAGGAAGTTTTTATATGACAGCATAGACCAGTCGATGGGCAAGTTAGTGCTCTATAATTTATCATTGTATCTTGTGGTTAATTTTCATATATTCATTATTATTTTCTAAACATTAAAAATACATCCCTCGGCAAATGCTTAGTCGCTAAATTTTTAGCTATTCAAAAATATGCATTAAATTAGATAGTTTTTCTATAATCTATACTCCGATTTATTTTATATTTTATGACATGGTTAAATCGACTCATACATTTTTTTTCTCTGCGATGACAATCATCATCAAATTTCCATCATAAAATCCCCACAGAAACAAAAAATGATATTTATTGTGCTCTTTGCCGTGGGAAAGTTCCAATACGTTGACATAAGTCATCATGAAACACAAAAATATATAGCTGAAACCAGATTTATTTCCCCCCCCCCTGAAACTCTACTTTGAATATCAAAATTTTTTAAACGTAGTTTTGGTAGTACCTTGTAAGAGGCTCATCGATGCATCATTCAAAATTCGATTATAATTTTTTTAAGCTTCCCCTTCGTTCCCACTGAAATTTGCCGTAACACAGGATGCGAATCTTTGTTTCCCGTTGTGGGTGGAAATGAAATATTCCACAGCCAGTCTCGCTTTTGCAACGCCTGAATTCACGTCAATCGAGGATGTCAGCAACATAGTTAGCCTGGAGCAAAATGCAAGTCTGCTCTCTAGGATTTAAGTGAAAATGCAATCAAAAAACTGGAATTTGATTGCGCTTGTATTTTTATGCTTGATAAAATTTTCAAAGGTATAAAAAAATTTATTATTTTGGTAATTTTAATATTGATAAACATTTTGTTTGGTGCAGCCTCAGGTTCGAAGCTCCTGTCAGCTAAGTGGTTATGCCCAACGATCCTCATTCCGTATTAACACATCATTTAAAAAATTCACTCTAAAATTTATTTTCCTTAATGATATTTTTAAGTCTGGCAAAGCAGCATTTTTGGTTCATCGAGACAAATCAAGTGCTTCTCGGAATGTGCCTCAGATGCAAAGAGCGGCAGCAAAATCAAGCGCGACTTCAGCTCAATGCAATTTTACTTTGAACGAGTATACAATCCTCGACGTATATCTGTGAACTGTGATTTAACTGTATGATTGGTGAAATTCCGAAATTATTTTCTCAAATCACTCAATTACAGCCTAGGTTTTTAGTAACATACTGCAATTTAATGTGTAAAAATTAATAATTATGTATTTCTTGTGTTACACGTTTATTGAAACAAAAAACTATTGCAGTGAAAAGATTGGCTGTACCTCAAATTGGCACAAGGAGATACTTTTTTGTCCCAACTTTTGAAGTATTCAAAACTTTTTCTAGCTTAATGTTCACTTAAATAATTATTATATTATATTAAAAGATGAGCTATTTTGAGGCGCTCAAGTTTTGCAGGAGTAGGAATCTCCTGCTTGGCGTCACAGATATCAAGTCGAAAGAGCAAGAAATAATTGCACTGCTTGCAACCACAGGTGGCCAATTTAAATTGGTTACTTTGATTTTTGTTAATTTTTTAATGAAAGGAAACCTTGACCCGACGGGGAAGGCGAAATTTTGGGGAGATTCTCGAGCGCAAAACGGTACTTATTTAATAGATGGCAACGCTCAGTGCTCCGCGTTCTCAGTGTAAAATTTAAACTTTTCTTTTACTTTTTTCTAATAACAAAAATTAATTGGATTTTAATATTTAGAGAGAAGTCTGGAGCCTTTGTAAAAACGGATGAGACATGCAAAACCAAATTGAAATTTTTCTGCGACGTTCCTTCACAATGCTATGCAGAAATTTGCAACGCCGCAACTGGTTTAATAAGCAGACCGGTTTAAATTAAAATAATTTATAGGAACGGGACAAATAATTTGATTCTTAATTCTCAGGAAACAGCCACAACATTCATTGCCAAATCTTGCTCAGATCCAACTTGTCCAAAATGCGGATCAAATGTATCAAAGTTCATAAAGTTAATTAAATTTTTATTTTTAAAGCAGAATTAATTTCTTTTAGAATCCACCTACCTCTGCAGACGGTATTATATATTTACTTTGATTTTGTTGTTCTATTTTTGAAAACTTTAAAAATTGTATATTAGGAATTTCTAAAACTTATTGTGGGAAAAACTACTTCATATCTACTACCACGGCAAGTTTTGAGGAAGCAATGGGAGTTTGTTGTTCGAAAAAAATGAATTTGCTGACAATTGAATCGGAAGCAGATATCAACTGCGTGTCTGATCTTTTCAGAGGTTTGGACATTTCAGTTTTTGATTGGAAAAAAATCAAATAATTTGGTCCGTAATGAAATAGATAGAGAAGTGAAGAGGATGGACAAACCAGAGTTCTGGACTTCGGCAACAAGTAACGGGTGTCCCGGTCGCTTTTCGTGGTGCACCGCTCCTTTTGCTGCAGTGCCAAAGTGGTTGTGGGCCGAAGCCGAGCCATTGCAAAAGAACTGCGTGGTCGCAAGTCTCACCCCCATACCAGAAGGGCAAACCTATTCCGAAGTAGCTCTAAACACTAGAGATTGTGCTCAGCAATCAAAATTCATTTGCATGGTATGGGTGATAAATTTATCAATTTAAAACCTTGACATTGATTTTAACATAATAGGAGCCAGGCGCTAGTGTTTACGAAAATGCAATTATTGGAAACAAATCTTGCAACCAGGAATGCTTTTCTGGAAAATGTCAATCCAAGGTAAAATCATCTTTTCAAAATAGAGCGCTCAACATGATTCTATTAAATTTTAAACTAAAAGGCTATAGCGGGCAGTTTCAACTTTCGAGCTTCAAGTATTCTATAATTTTAACCCTAAAACTGCCCAATCGAACTGAACTTGTGAATTTCTTATCAGGTCCGGGAGTTGCTGGACCAATAAAAACAGCCTGTGGATTCAATTATTACATAGGAAAATCCACGGTAAATAAATTTCCCCGCCATTAAAAACTGATCAATCAATACTTTCCATTAAAAACAAAAAACAAAAAATAGAGAAGCTGGCAGGAGTCAGAAAATGCCTGTTGCGAGGACCGTATGGAACTAGTAAGCGTTTCGGACGAAACTGAAATTGAGTGCATTAGAGAGTTGTTGGGCATATTAAATGGTGATTAAAAAATATTCAAATGTCCAGTGTGTCATAATTGTTTGGATAGTTTCTAAGAACTTATTTTTTTGCCATGTATTAAAATTTTTTATGCTTCTCTTCATGGGTATTGAGTATAGGGGTAGGTTCCCTTAATTACTTTAAATTAGAATTTTTAGATATTTTCTAGGAAAACTGAATTTAAAATTGGTAATTTACGGTAGTTAACGCAATTAATGATATACATTGCCGAAAGAAAGTAAAACTTCAATCCTATTTTTCAAATATTTTGGTGTTTTACTCACCTCTGCTTGTCTTGCTGCGACGTTCTGATTATTTTACAGACAACTGGCGGAGTGGTCCGTTTTGGGTGGGTGGAACAGACGTAAACTGCGCTCTGAACTTCACGTGGTGCAGCGCTTACAACCCTCGACTACCCTTCTCCACAAGGCAGCAACGCATCGTTCGGCTTAACAATCGCAAAGGCAGCAGCTGCATTGCGCTGGACCTCAACCCGGCAAAAACTGGATTGGTCGCCTACAAATGCGACCAGATGTATCGATACATTTGCAGGGTATGAGCGCATGTGATTCTCAAGAACAGCTGATCTGACATAATTGACTTTCTGTAAATCTAGGACCCCAGAAACTGTTTGCCACAATGTCCTACCGCGTGCCCACTGAATGCTGGAAAGTCGGCTGCCATGGAAGCGGTAAATTATATTTTTGTCCATACTTTTTTTCTATTCACAAACTGATTGATTAATTGTCACGCTTCATAAGAATGATCACTTTTTTAATTATAAGAAATAATTGAATTGTAGGATAGAATATTTAATTTTTGGTCTCTTTTATTTGGCTATATTAATTATTGTGATAAATAGGTGGTCGCTTTGACAACAAATCAGAAATTTAGAGTTGGACTTTTTCTTCTTCACATTCATTTATGCATTTAGGTCTATTCTCAAAATATTCAAAAATTAATGTCTTACATGCGGTTTTTGTGTACCGACCAAAATAATTAACTAAATAATATAAGAGTAAAATTTCAATAGGCTAGATCTTTGAGAATTAAAAGACAGGCTGCAACTGCAGATGATGAAGATGAAGATTCAGATAAAAAAGGAAGTAAGTGATTTTAGAAAATAATCATTTTCGGCACCTTAATTTGTGCTTAAATTTTACTAGCCGAGCAACACACTGGTATTTTCAACTCTATAAATGCTTGTGGTCGAAATTACTTGATTAGTGAAGATATGGTATTTATTAAATTTTGTCAACTTTGCGGCATATTGAAAAAAAAATTCACAGCGCACATATTCCGATGCATATTCACAGTGCTGCACTAAAAACATGCGTCTCCTCTCCCTTGACAACAAAAATGAAGGCGACTGCCTCATGGACTTGTTGAAAAGTAGCCCAAATAAATCTTATCAAAGTCATCAAAATTTAACGATTAAATAATCAGGTCCGGGAAAAGACACAACTTTTTGGACTTCCGCCACTGACTATGGCTGCAAAGGATATTTTGTGTGGTGCGGTACTGGCGAGTATTTCAATGCCGTTGATCATGGCAAGGCTAGAATCACTGCTGGCGACAACAAAGACTGCATACTATTGGAATATGATTATAAAAAGAAATTTTTCTCGTTAAAAGACGAAGTGTGCTCTTTGAAACAAAAATTTATATGTGAACCAGCCAACTAAAAGTCAGGTGATCATAAATATTTTTGTTTTTATTGGTTTGGAATTATTGACCTCTAACTCCAGAAGAAAAAAACGAAAAATACTATGTAATAGGATATCAAAAACTTTCATTTCATTGAAAAGCTAATTATTATCAAAATCGTTGATTTTTTAAAGAAAATATTATGTGATGCGTAAAAGCATTCGTATCGAGTTTCACATTATTCAAAAAAGTTCAGCATCATACTGTTGAAAATTCAAAAATTTTTATGAGTGTAATATGAAGTGTATTTCTTCATTTTTGTTCTATTTTTGAGAACTAATTGAGCTTATAAATTAATTTAAAAACTGATCTCTCATTCCATAGCTTTATTCAGATGCATCTATAATTATAATCAATCCCTCTCCTCCGTTAAAATATCTACTTTTTTATTTAATTTGTTCTCATCGTCGATGTTTTCCTTGTTGACGAGTTCCAGGCCTTTGTCTTCGGCTACCGTTTGGAGGTCAACTTTGCCGTTTTCATTGCCAACGACAGTTTTCGCGTGGTCGATGAAGTCTTCGATGGCAATTTTCTTGTTGGCAACAGTTTTTGTGTCGTTGACGGAAATTTTGTCGTCGACGTTGGTCTTAACGTTGTTGGTTGCCGCGTTGGCGTCGTTGGATTTTTTCCCCTTGATATTGACTTTTTCGTCGAGGGTCTTTTCCTTGATGTCTCGATGTTCTTTGGTTTTAACTTGGTCGACGACTTGTTTTTTGGTTTCTGTGTTGAATTGGACGTATTGTTATTTTCATTGAAGTCAGGATCAAGGTTGAACTCACCTGACAAATTAATATTACTGGTTTCCACTATTTCCTCGGCATTCCTTTTTGTCAATGGTTCCGCGTATCCAATAATTTCCATTTGTCCAAGTCGCACGTTCGGCTGGTCTCCTTGTTGCATTTCAATGTTGACGGTGCTTGGACGAATAGACTTCAGATTGATTGGAAAATAGGTGCTTAGAGGGAACTTTGTATTTTTTCCTCCATTTTCAGGACCAGCGAGATAAATTGTCTCGTTTGTCTATTTTGAAACACTTTAAAAATTTCCTTTAAATCTTCAAAAAAGACATACACTATCAGGCTTGATGAAAGTCAAGGTGAAATTTGCAGCCACGTGCGATTCAATGACACCAGAAACTTTTGGCTTGTCCCTTTTTCTTGGCTCAGTTTTTTCATTGATCGTGATTGTTACGCTTTTTCCGTCGTCAAAAATAAAGTCTTGGAGACCAATGGTTACCTGTTGAAAAGAAACGCTGCACGTAAAGAGAATTTCTAAAAAAATTTGCTCATAGAAATTCTCACCACCAGAGTGCCAACTTTCTCCGACGAAGCTCGTAAGAGAAATAAGCTTAAAACTGTGAAAGGACTCCTGCAAAATTTAGACGTAAAATGAATAAGATCTTAGTTGGAAACAAAGTAATTTAGCTGGTTTTGGTAGTACTTCAGTGCGACTATCTTACCAAACTCTCATTGCTGTAGAAAGATGATTACTGGTTTCACAAGGCAGAAATTCCAAAACCTAGTGTCTTTATCTCCCTTGTGTTTGTGCTTTTTTTCCCAAACAAGATGAGGAAGAACAAGGCTGGTGCTGACTCTGAATGTAATGTGCCGAAAAGTGCTTTATGCATATTTGCGATTTCAGCTGTTTTGATATGAAAGCATTTTGTAAGTAGTAAGTTGTGCCTTTGCTCTTGGTTTATATTTATCAGGACGAGTTTTTAAAACATCGTACAGAATGATAGCGTAGGAAAAACAATGTTTGAGGTATGCAACCTGCTCAACGCTTAAGTCAGGCTGCTTGCATAGTTTTAATCCATTGCTGTGCACATTATACATTAGACACATTTTTTTAATTATCAAATTGAATTATTTTATGTATAGTGGTTTTTAGGAGTATTAAAATCTTAAATCTTATTTGCCTCTAATGAAAGTTATTTTAATTTATGTTTTAGATAAAAGCAAAATAATATTTGTCACATTTGAGAGTTATGTTGAAATAAAACTTAAATTCAGAGGGGTAAAAGAAATTCACCGTGACAGAAAGAATTATGAGGTCAACTTATTGATTTTTCAAAGTAGGCTAATTGAATAACTTAATTTTTTTATATTAGTTGGTACAAATTCATTATTTATTTGAATTTAAATTTTCATGTCATAGACTGCTATAAATTTGCATTTTTGTTTTAAGGATGAAAGCTATATAAACGTCATTTGTGATGGCGAGTAAAAAAATTAGAATACTCATTTTTTAGTTATAATTTAAACAAGATATTTATTACAATTCAAATTTATGTACATTTTTATAAACTCTCAATTTTCCTTGTCTGCCTTCTTTGTATCTTTATTGTCGGCATTCCTCAGCCTCTCTCGAACATCACCCAAAAGTCCCTTCAACTCTTCCCTGCGCTTTAACAAATTTTCTTTTTCACTGTTACTTTTCATGCTCTTGGACTTTTTCTTCTCAGTTGGTTTTGAAACGTTTTTCCTCAATTTCAGTTTTCCTGCTGATTCTGTAGGCTTTTCGGGAGCTACAGACTGTTGGTTATTTTCACCGGATAATTTTGGTCCACCTTTACGCTGACTCACTCCGCTAACTTTTTTTGATCCACATTGGCGCTTTTCGGCTTTCACTTCTGCTTCAGTAGAAGCGATTGAAGATAGAATTTCTTTGCTACTTGCTTTTTCCTGCCGCTTGTGCTTCCTTTCGTGCTTTGCCTCCTTGTCCTGGCTTTTCTCCGCATCCGATTCAGACTCCGGATCTTTGTTTCCATTCTTTTTGCTCTGGGGCCCCGATTGAACAGTCTTTACTAGCTTCAATTTATCTAATTCCTTTCTTTGTTCCTTTTCAGCTGTATGTTTCTTTGTGCGCTCATTATCCACCGACTTGGTGTAATCGAGTGATTCCTCTTCGTTTTCTTGAATTTTTTGAGTCTCACGTTTAGTAGATCGGCGACCTCTACTCTGTTTTGGCAAAATTTCAACCAGTCCTAACTCAAATCCGGGAGTGGAGACTGTATCATTTAACACTCCTATCAGAACTGAGCTGGGCCTTATGTTTTCTATATCTAGAGGGAAATACGCTCTCAATGGACCAGGTTCTTTTTCGTGTTTGTCACTCTCTTTGAGTTCAACCAATACATTGGAAGTCTACAATTGGAAAATATTTTTTGTTCAATATAACAAGCATGTTCATAAATCTTACCTCTCCAGATTGTTTTTTAAATTGCATTGTGAAGTTTCCAGGAAATTCAGACTTAATTCCGCATGAGTACTTTGGCTTGTCTTCCTCTGGGTAATATTTCTCCCAGAAGGTAAACCTGATATCTCCTAGCTCAGGTACTTCAAAAAACTCGGCGCCAATTGTTTCCTAGCAACAAATTTAGTGAAAAAATGAAGGGGTCAATTTCAGAAAGGACAAAAACAAAACTTTATAAAAAAACTTACCACTATGCTTCCAACCTTGGAGCTTCTTTTGAACGAATCTGAGGGTGACGATTGCACGGAGAGAGCACACGTTACAGTTAATAGGGTGAACCTACAAAATCACGCTTTCAAATTTTTTTGCATTATAACAAAAGCTCAGGGCTACTTACAAAGCCCTCATGGCTCCCATTGTTGTCTGATGCAGTATGTCAATGAAGTGCGAGTTGTAGTCCGGCGCGATTCTCTTTATCTCTTCGTTTTGCTCACTTTGAACATCTAGAAGTGAAAACTGACCTTGCAATAATAAACAAAAACAATTATCAGCACTTCCACTCACGAAGGAATGTGCCTGAAAATTTCCTGTTGTTGCGCGCCATAAGATTAATGAATTTTAAACAAAAATAATTTAATCAAAATAACACTGCCTTTTTGTCACCTTTTATTTCAAAAAATCCCGTAGCAAAAAAAAAGGAATTTTCGGTTGCACACGAGGTTGCACCTTACGTTAAAATGCATTTTTAAGCAATTAAGCTACTTGATTTTCTTGTTTGTTTTAAATTTGGCTATTAATCAAATTTTGTCCCTTTTTTATACATTTTCCTTTATTTTAATATTCATTTTGCACTTGCTTCATGTATGTACGAAATTGTATTAATATAAATATTCCCAGCACATTTTGAATAAATGCTTAAATATGCACGCTTATTTTTTCTGTACATTGAATCTAATGACATCAGTACTGATAATGATACAATTTAAGAAAATGGATATATTGTTAAAATAAATTTCATATTTAAAATTTTTGCGGCACTAAAACGCATACCTTTTTTCTTCTCATTTTTAAATTTTAACTACATTTAAATTTTTCCTCAATAGGCATCCATCATTTATTATACTCACATTTTGAAACTTTTTTGATCATTTCTGTTGTGTCAAAGTGAACAATCGCTTTTTAATTTCAACAAATAAATTTTATTATTATCGAAAATAATTTGCTGTTATATAGTAATGGTATTAAATTTTGGTCGATTGTGGTTTGGTCGGTTTTGAGGAGATAAATTTCAAATTTTATAATTTATTTTTTAGTTTTATTTATTTATTAAATATTTAGCACACAATAATATATTGTTATACAGTAGTTTGGAAACGTCAAACTGAATTCAAACCTTTCGGTTTGGTGCAATCCAATTCCATTTCACGTTTCTTCCTCTTATCTCCTTTTTGTACTTTATTTAACCTATTGCCGAACCTATCACCTCTCTTTTTTTGCTCGTCTTTTTTGCCGTCCCTGTCTCTCTTCTGCCCTCCCACAATGCGCTGTGGTTTATTCTCATCTTTCTTGCCGCCCTTCTGCCACCTCTGTGCCACCTTTCCGCACTTGTCGCATTTCCTGGTATATCGAGACGATCTCAGAGAAATGCTCTCGGAAACTTCCAGTTTGCCGATTTCTTGGTCCTCCACGTTGCCTTCTTCATGCAGGCTGATGAAAACCAAACTTGGACGCAGGTTGCTAAGGTATATTGGGAAGTGAGTGCGGATGGGCTCGTCTGACGGTTCGTCGGTCCTAGCTACAGCCATTGAAATCTCGTCAACGGTCTGTAAAATATCAAATAATTAATAAATGTGTCTATTAAAATAAACGTTCAGAAACAATTACTTCGTCTGGTCGCTCAAATTTGAGTGTGAAATTTCCAGTCAGATCCGTTTTGATTCCGCAAGAAATGTGCGCTTCATTGACACCAGGATCGGTCCTTTCCCAAAGAGTGATTCTAATTTTCCCCTTTACTGGGTGATTAAATTCTTTGTAACCAATCGTTTCCTGCAATTATTATTTTTTTTTCATCGAAGCTACAAATTTTCCTTTAATTATGCTCACCACCACACTTCCAACTTGAGTAGATCTTTTTGTTCTGACATTCGCCTCTGCAATTATCCCACAGCCCGTCAAAAGAAGCAGCACGCTGAAAAAGCTTCAGCCTTAAGAACTGAAAATTTCGCAGAATGAAAGCAATTTCTCACCTCAGCTGCATTGTTCACTTTGCGTTCTGCGAACTGACTGATCCGCGATTCTGCAGGCTTCTTGACCTCTTTGCTCCTCGTTGCAAATAAGCAAAAACCATAACCTTGCAACTTTGCAGCGTTTAAGGTTTTTCATTTAATCATGCAAGCTTTTAAACAAATATTATTTATCTGGCTCTCGTTGAATCAGCGCTATTGTAGCTACTTAATATTATAATTTGGATGGTTTGAAGTAAATTAAAAAAAAAATGGAATTAACTAATGAAAAATAGCAACAGCATTTATTTTAGTTGCAAATTAAGTTTATTGGTGTACCACAAGGCAATCTCTGCCTATAAGGAGATACATCATCCAGATATTCAAAGTTATAAATGAAAACTACAGACAAAATTTGAGTTTGTAAAAAAAAATATACACATTTACATTGTCTTGAAAAAAAATAATGCATTTAAAATTTACTGTTTTTAGAAACTTTTTTTTATTATTTGCTTATGGCACCCGTGAGCTTATTAGGCTATTGGGTCGGCCTCTTTTTAGAAACTACTTAGATTTACATTGTGAACAAGAAATGTAAAGAGTTATAGATGGAAACTCTTTAACTTTGACAAGAACAGATTATTTTTGTAATTGAAAATTGTTCTTGTTAATATAAATATCATAATGTATGTTTTTGATTGGGCTCTGGTTTAATTGAAATTGAAAAGCAAGTGGTTTATCAAAAATCATTGAATTTTTTATTGTACAAGTGTGTATGACAAATATAGCAGATGGAGTGCGTGTTTTGATTGTTAGGACTACCTGGTAATATTTGGTTGGACATATATAAGTTTATTGAACACACCTTTTCGAACATTGTACGATATAATTCTATAATTCATCGTTTTTTTCTTCATTTTCCGAACTTGTACTAGGAAGTGTAAACTGACATTGAGCTGCTTTCAGGGCATTGTGCGGTGAGCAAACAAGCAAAAAAATTTATCAGCATGCGATAAATTCCCGTTGATGTGCCACCTCAGGGCTATGATAACTGCATCTGTGTATTTGGTGGGACTAACTATTAAAGCACGCGGAGGGGGTTTTGCAAAAATATACACCATTATATATAATAATAAAAGTAATTGTCAGTACCATGAAATTGCGCATGGCGCGCCATCCCGGCGGTAGCTAACTGTGTCAAGGGGGCTGGAAGGGTGGTGGTTTTCCACTCCCCAGACAGCAGCAGCCGACGGGACAGCAGAGCGCGTCGCCGAAGCGCGCTTTCCCCAAAGGGAAACTCGCGCTGAACGCCGCGCAAACGCCTCGGGGTTGCGCATTTAAAACTAGAGTCCACCCCGGGTTACGAAAATCTTTATGCGAAAACAAGATTCAGGAAACCCAGGGTGGCACTTTGCAGACTTAGGCCTAACGGAAGGAGCTACCTTACTCGCGAGACAAATAGCGATTTTGCATATAATTTACACAGGCCAAATGGATATAAAAGTAAAGGGTAAAACTTTTGTGCTATTTATCCGAGAAGGAGGGGGGCGAGAAGCAACTTCTTCTTCAGCAGGGCCAACTTAGCCAGCTTGACGGCGCCAACGACCTTGGCGACCTTTGCGACCTTGACCACCTTGATGGCGGGGATAGCGAGTCCCAGAGCTCCGGCTCCTCCGAATCCACTGCTGCTGCCGGACGAGGCTGGTCTGTACGAGACGTAGCGAGAGGAGGGGGCACTGTAAGAGCTGGATGCGTACGAGCTGGACGGGGCTCCGTAAGAGCTGGACGGGGCACCGTACGAGCTTGAAGGGGCTCCGTATGAGCTTGAAGGGGCTCCGTACGAGCTTGAAGGGGCTCCGTACGAGCTTGAAGGGGCTCCGTACGAGCTAGACGGAGCAGCTGCCCTGTAGGTCACGATGGGGGCACCATACGAGACGGAAGGGGCGGACTGAGCGGGAGCTCCGTAGCTGGAGATGGGAGCTGGGGGGTTGTACGAGGGTGGTCCGTACGAGTTGGAGGGCTAGAAAACAGAAAAATGTTATTTAAAAAATTGAAGTAAATTATCTAGAGGAATGTTAAGAAAAATATAAATTTTTTATGAAATAATAAAATGATGTAATTAAATAATGAAAATTATTACATTTATTGTTTTGTCTTTAATGAGCAAAGTATACTTACAGGTTCAGCAAAGGTCTGAAGAGCCACGAGGGCCAGCACAACAAAGGAGAGCGCGCGAGACATGGTCGGTGGCACCTGCAACAGATAAGAAAATTGCACTTAAAAAAATTGAGCACAATTAGTTAAAAATGTCGTAAGGGCAATTATTTAAGATGGCACGCGCATTATTATTGCTCGAACGTGCTGTTCCTCAAAGACCGCTTAGGCTTAAGCGCTTCCTCTCTCGCCTAAATTGATAATTGCGTGAGCACGCCCTGGTTGTTACATGCGAGCTGCTGCTTGGGAAACAATGCGCCGCTATTAAAAATCTCCGATTCGGAATTAATGTCCCAAGGTAGGGCAGACAGAACATAAATTAAAAGCGAAATGCCCGCGGGTCAGCAGCGAAAGAAAACGAAAGTGCAACGCGGGAAAACTATGGTTTATGTAATTGTTTGCCTAGGAGAGATGGAGACGCCACTCCTCAATGAAAGAAAATGAAGGTTGGTTTCCCTTTCGGCGGTCGTGTTAAAAGGCAATGATGCAACTTTGATGGCACTGTTTAGAGAAAGTTTTGGAGGCTGGGCTGGTGCAGCGCGTGTTTTTTCATTATTACTATTATTAAACACGCCGGCGGGCACGTAATGCAATTAGGCGTCCATTCTGGTCCAGCACCTGGCCGACGAGAAAGTTCATCGGCCCGCGCCCACCGCGTGGAAAAAGTATACGCACATTTCACGTCTCGCGGGCACCAATTATTCCCATTCTGATTCGGACCGCTTTTGTCTTTTCGCTTTTCACCGCCGGAATTTGCATTGAGTCGCGCCCCCGGCCCAAACTTAATGATAATAAAAAAGCAGGCCCTGCTACTTAAGCAATTAATTTCGCATCCCATGAGGAAGTCTGATCGGGATCGATTGATTGATAGGTAGGTCCGACCGGCGTTTTCTGAATTTGATCCGAATGACTAGAAAGTTTGTTTCGGAATTTGATGAATGCTATTTATGTTTGCAAATCACGCGCGCCTGCGAATATCTAGTTGTGGATAATTAGCGAAACTCTTGACAAGGCGGTGCGCGTGAGACTTATATGGTCAGCTTGATTTCCCTATCGCAAAAGCATCTCTTTTTCCAGTTTCAGGACTTATATTATTGGTTATTCTCTCATGGTGAAAATTGGGGAGTTATTATGAAAAGATGTAAAAGAAATAACTAAATACCAATATGAAAATAATGCAGATTAATAAACGTTTTGAACCCTTAAAAATTAAATATAATATTCAAAAAAATTTACAACTGCTTTACAATATTATTATTATGTTGTAATGAAGAAGTGCCCTTATCTAAAATTATTAGAAAATTTTGTATTCCTATTTAAAAAAAATTTTTCCATTAAGTTTTACTAATAAATAATATAATAACTATTCTAATTATAGTAATTATAAAAATGAAGCAAAACTAATGATTATCTTCTTGCGAGAGTTGATAGAAAAATTCATTCAAGAATTAGGACCTGAAGTAATTAACACCAAGGCCTTTAAAATTAAAAATAGCGAGCTGGAGAGTGAGTCGTAAAAAGTCGATAAAACCTCTAATAAAGGAATTTCACAAAGCACGCGAGATACTTTCACAAGCAAAACAGGCATAAAAATTTGAACGATTGGTTAGAGATGCCCAATTCGCACTTTCATCACTTTCGGCTGCGACCTTTGCCGTTTGAAGCTGCCGCACTGCGCGCGTGGAGGTGTCGGATGGAGAGCGAGAATAATAGTAGGAAACAATGCCGTGTCATTTACATAAAGTAGTGTTGCATAAGTAAACGGCAATGCGTCTCGTTTTGGGCAATATAGTCTATTAGAGACGGCGAGAGTGGAAAGAACGCGAGTTATGTGGAATGAATTTTTAATGACAACTATAGAAGTGCGCTCACGCGCTTTTTCTTCCTCTATTGTGCGAGACGCGCTCGCACACTCGCGGCTGGTCATTTCGGAGAACAAAACGCGCCGGTTGTCGCTGCTCGCGTAAAAAGTGAAATCTGTGACTTGATTCTTTTTCTGGACGCTCTCGTGCGCTATCATCCAGTTTTCACACGTTTTGCCTAATTTTCAGATGCAAACAAAACATGAACAAGGCTGCGCCCCACAATTTATAAGACAAACAAAATAATTGCCGCGAAATTGTCTCTAATGTGACGCAAACGCACAGACGCGTGAAGTTTTAAATGCAGTAATTAATAAATTATTTTTAACAGTTAAAACTGCAATTAATTAAACATTTTTTATAAGTCACGTTCAATTGTTTCGTAGTGAAGTAAATTTAACCTCTAGCAAAGTCTTAATTTTAATACGCTTATCCTAATCCTATTGCATATATCAGAAGAGAAGAAAGATTCGCGCATGAAAACAATGAAACGTATTTTGATTATTGTTTGAGCTCTCTGATTGAGTAATAGTAAAATTTTTCCAAATCAAAGCACTCGGCAACAATCAACATTTGCTCTGAGTGTTGTGATGCGCGAACTTGAATGTAAAGAAAAAAAATGCTGCGCCATGAAAAAGAAATGAATAAAAAAACAAAACATTTATTTGGAAAATTTTTAGCTAATATACTTATAAATTATTTATAAATAAATCTCATAAAATTACTAAAAAAAAATGAAACTGAAGTATTGAAATTGATTATAACTAAAAAAAATGTTTGGTCAGATTAATTTTTAAATAATAATTTTCTAATTACTAATTAATAATAATTTCAAATACTCAATTTAAAAAAGAAAAGTCAAATCTAATATGTTTAAAAAAATATTAACAATTGAAACAAAGTTGAGAGCTCTTATTAATAGACGAGGAGTAATGAAGAAGCTGATCCTTACCTGACAAGCAGTTGGAGCAAAGTGGAAGCCTCTGAGCTCGGCGGTCCTGAATATATAGTGGGGGCGGGGGTCACGTCAGGAAGGGATCGTCCGAGCGGGGGGCTCACAGACCCTGGCCGGCGATGCCGCCGCCGCCGAAAGAAAGTGAGCGCACGCGGTGGGTGCTGCTGAAAATTCCTCTCTGCATTTCCATGTGTTGGAGACACGCCATCCGCACTTTTCTCCAGGCACGGCAGACGTACATGCGTTTTCGCTGCCAGGAAAAAAACTAGGCCTGCCGCTCAAATGAACAGGCTCAAGAACTGGCCGCGACGACACAAAATATATAATTTCTTGATTCGCGCGACTGGACTTGGATTTCCAATACTTTTCACCATATTCAAGAGTTTGTCACTTTAGATGGAGTGTAAAATACAACAATTAAACGAAAAATCAAATCAAAAACTTTTTTAATCGTCAAACTAGAATTAAAATGCTGAAAGTAAAAAAATTAATAACTTAAGCTGCCAAAATTATGTTTACACCAGAGATTCACAATTTAAAATTCATTTATTCTGCACTTTGCTGATAAAAATTTGCACACATTTTTCTCATTGTTTGAAGTTTCGTTTCCTCTGGACCATATTATGCTTATCTTTATTTTTCTTGCACCATTTAGCTCATTTTTTGTTTCTAGATCACATCGTGGGATTTTTTTGGGTGCGAGAGGATTCAAGTTCGCAGCCTGCTCATGCTCATTATCTGCATGTGACTTACTCGCATTGTCTTTCCTATGCATCGTGACATTACTTTTGCTATGCGGATATGCAATTGCTTTATTTCTCCCTTGACAGTGACGACGCACCACTTTCTAATGAATTCGAAAAGTTTTGTAATTTTATTCTCAACTTCTCTCATTATTCTGATATAACGCCGCGCGCTTAAAGTCGCGTCGCAACCTGATTTTTAATTAGATTTCCACAACTTTGCACCAGTTGCGAATTTTTTTAACACAGAGCTGTATCGGCGTTTTCCCCAAACAACTTATAGCCACACACTTTTTTCTAGTTCACGAAACAAGCCAAGTATATTATATTAAAAGTCTTAAGTGTGCTCAACGAACCGAGAAATATATAAAACGGATATAGGTAAATTTCGGCTCGATTTCATATAAGTAACAACTGGTTTAAAAGCGCGTGCCAAACTCTTCTTAAACTAATTGGATCGCTTTCTAATCAAAGTAATTCGTCCTTAATTGATTGAAATAAAGCTCAGTTAAGCCGCAGCTTAAGGTTTCAACAAATTTGAAGTTGGTTGCAACTCGCAGACAGAGAAATCAATTAAACTTGGGTTCATTCTTTCAAACCGCGGTGTTGTCTTTAATAATTGTGAATTGCCTAAAAAAACCAGCTAGGCTTTTACTTTTTCCACGGGTTCAGTTGCTGAATTCAATCAATATGATCTGTCCGTTTAAGAAGCAGTTCACGCGAATCTCCAAGCGCCTTAATTTATTGACCACGAGAAAAAATTATGTAATTATACCTATACCACTTCAAATTATGAGTTATCGCTCAATGGTCTTCACTTGCTCGCACATTCAAGCAATTCCTTATTGGTTTGGTGCGCTGCTTTTAATAAGGCGCGATCTTTTATTGCTCGTAATTTTAGTCTTGATTGGTAGAAGGTACAAATTCGTTGGGCTATGGAGAGAGGCAATCGCCCAATTTCTGTGCGTAATTACTGCATAGTGAGATCCATGGGAAACTTTCCATGTCTAATTGTAAAATTAAGTATATTGCAGCTTCATGCTGAGACAAAAATTAATCTTGCTATTTTGTTCCGTGTGACTCAAATATCAAGTAATTTACTTACTCATCAACTAAATACTTACATCAAAACTAAAACTGGCATGAAAAACATTGCAAATTTTTAAAAATAGTAATATTTTAAGATTTTTACAACCGTTAAATAAGTCTGTTGAAAACAGTTTGTGATGGAAAGTAAAAAATGTTTACTTGCACAGCAGTTTGCATTTTGTGCATAAATTATTGAAAAAGTGCTTTTTTATCAATCATAACCTGAATTAAATTTTACTGATAGATCGTACATACATTGAATGATTTGTTTTCTATACTTTTACAATCCTAACACCAGCATAACACATCATAATTTCTTAGCCTTTTTGTGAGAACTTTTAAAAGTAATGAACATTTTTATGGCCCATTTTAGCCATTTTGCACAAAATTTGCCATTTATTCTAATGAGCTTTTTAATGCGATTAATTTTAGTGGGATTATGTTTTTCTTATGCCAACGGCGCAATTCTTCAAGCAAAAGCACGCCGTTACCAAAAGTACATATTATTATGCAGGCATAAATTAAAATTGAGCCAAGTGAGCGCCACCCAGCGCGCGTACCATTGTTCTGCCGATAAATTAAAATACACACGCTTGGTGATGTTATCTGTGTGTAATATGCACGGCCGGCAAATTACATGGCTGACTGAGAGAGGAGGCGCAGAATTCATATATACGCCGCCAGAGATAATGTGAACGAATGAATGAATGACTTATGGGAAGAAAGTTGCAGCTGCGGGCTTGGCCGGTCGCAGAAAATCGCCGTGGCGGTAATTAATTAATTGGCAAAGCAAATTCTCGAGAAAATAAGCATTAATCATCTCTGGGCTTTATTTGTTTGGCTGGCGTATTCACAAAACATTTGGCCGCTCAGTAGCCGCCAAGTGAGGTCATTACTCAATAAACGCGCAATCTTCATTCATTCATCCCAAAGCTCATTCATAATAAGTTCTGTGAGTAGAAACTCATGTGGTAATAATTACATTTTTGTTTTATTTGTTTTCGCAACGCCACACTTTTTCTCTATTACATGATGTGCATAATAATTTTTTCTTCTCTTAATTTATATTTAGTATGTTTCAGCATTGTTTATATTTCTATATTTTTGATGTAATAATTTTGTATAAGATGATTTGTGACTTTTTACATTTAAATATATCAAATGGAGTATATAAAAATAAATATATTTTTTTTTTTTTTTTACTTTTAATGATCGATCTTTGTAATGCGAGCTTTTGGTACACCGAAATAAACGATTAGTTTCCAACGATTTTTTTAGTGTTGCGTGTGTGAAGGCAATGGAAATGTACGGTCAAAAACATTTTCACTTTCCTCTTTTTTTGGTCGGTGTCACTAACAAGCAGAGAAAGAACAGATGACATCCTCAGATACGGCCTATTAAAAAGCAGGCGTAATCTGGAGAGATGGGAGCGGAAATTAACTCTCGCGCATGAAACTCCAAAAATAATGTGTCTGCTTTCTGGCCACTTCTAAAAGTCAAATGTCAAGGAAAACTGATACCCTTTGCAACCGCAGACAAGGACAAATAATGACACGTCTATAAGGTAAATCTGATGATTTGTTTGATACTTTTTGTTCCATGCTAAATTTTGTCAACGCATTTGAATAATAATTATAATTTTTTTACACCTGGCAGCAAAAAATCTTTGTATAATGTAATATGTACATTTTTTAAAGGACTTGAATTTTATTTTTTGATATTAAATTAATTTAGGATTGTCCTCGTGAGAGATGTAAAAAAATGTAAGTTATCATAATTAAAAATTCTTTGACTTTTGAATATTGCAACATCGAATATAATTGCATTTTTTCTTTTTTTTTTATTCATAAAATGGATTCAACGCATTTTTTTTTTTTTTTTATTTTGTTGCAACAGTTCTGGGTAATATGAAATTATTACCACTAATTATGATTGTATTTTGGAGAGAAAATAATAATGACAACCGAAAAGAGGCGTGACATAATTCCTCACCACACACATCGCGCAATCGGCAAGTACGACGAGAAATCTTTGGGTGATGACACTCTCTCGTCAAGGTCAATAATCGGAATGGTCGCAGCCTTCCTATTTTGATACATAATTACATCAGTTTCTATTAGAAAATTAGTTACGATGGGCACAAGGAAGATGCGGTATGGAGATAAAAAGTCGAGATGTTGCGTGTTTGCTCTTCCTCCTCTTTGCCTAATTAGAGGCGCCGAACTCTGATTACAACAAGTGGGAGATCAATTTGTGCCTAATCACGCTATCCACCGTCGCTGATTTGTTTGCAAAATGACAAAGTTTAAAGTTTAACGCGTGTTCGCAAATAGTAAATAGAAAAGACTATAAATTGAGCGATGAATGAGGAAGAGTTAGTTCTCCACGCAACAATAATTCAAATGGAAAGAAAGAAGAGCGTGAAGGTCTTGGCCGCTCCAAAACTCACGAGCGTGAGTTTGCTGTTGGCCATTTGAGAGGAAACGTTTAAAAAAAATTGAGTCCATTGAAATTTTCCTCGTTTTGAACCAACAACAAACTATTCGCCCAGATTTCGGTAGCCTTGAGTAATTGAAGAGTATTTTGGTACACTTTAAATTGCCTTATTATAATAACAATGTGGCATAAAATTTTTATGCAAATAAGCATCCTGGTAGTTATATCTTGTGCATTGCATGAAGCATTGATGATGTTCTGACGTTACATACAGGATGAGATATTTTTCGTGTTGCTTCTGAAATAATAAAGCTAACAATAAGTAGCTTTAACTTGTTATTAGTATGATCATGAGCAGGTATATAAAAATATTTTCATTTTTTTTTTTCATTACGTAAATTTATTTTAAATTCAGGCCACCTGCGTGAACTGAAACAACTATAGAAATGACTTAGCAAACATGCGAAGAAAGCTCTTTTCTGTTGACAAGATGCTGGTCAAGAAGACAAACGTTCGTTCTTGTTTCACAAACCATAATCACCTGACCACACAAAACACATAAAATCAAATTTCTTCCCCAATATTTACACAGGTCACCAAAATTAAGAAAGGGAAACCGCATTTTGGCGTTGGCTGTTGACTAATGTTCAATTCAATATCCATATTTTTGAATCCACTAGCAAAATCATTGATTTATTTCTACAGGAAATCTGCTAAGATGTTCAAATTTATAAATTTTTCAACATTGTTTTTACGAGCTCATAATTTTGTTGTCACATTTGGTTATCATTCACGACGGCTTTTCCCACCA